AAACAAGAAACTATTCGATATACGAAGAAATTAACCTATTGTATAACGGAAGACAATTTTTTTTTTTGAAAAATTACTGTTACAGTGACTTTAAAACTGTTTCATAAACTAAATATGATATTGAAACAGCCGGAATAACTTTTAACAAATTAGGTATAAGACCACGATAGAAACCAACAAGTCCTTCTTTTTGCCAAATTTCTTTCACAATTGTTTTAATTGGTAAAACCGGATGAGCTTTGCTTTGATCCATATGTGGTAAGGGTACAATTTGTCCTTGACGACGTATACGTAGTAAAGATATAGGATAAGTTACCATTTGACCGGTAAATGATGAAATAGCACCACAACTAAGAACTATATATATAGGAGGTTCACGATTATGGGAAGTCATATAAAGACGTTTCAAACTCTAAATATATATAGAGAAAAAAGATTTAGAAAGACTTTTAAAAATAGACTAATATTACTTCATAACATGCTAAGTCAAAGCCAGCATAAGGCACTATACCAATTTGATTAAGAGTATAACCACGCCAAAAAGCTCGGGGTCCTTCAAATCTATATATACGTTTAATAGCATCTTTCCAATTAGAAAATTCACCGGTTCGTCTTAAACAAAATCGTACTTTCAAAACCTATATTTGAACAGAATAAAATAAATTTTAAGAAAATCAAAATAATATTTACATCTAATGGATAAATAAAGGTTTGAGAGAGAAAACCAGCAGCAGCACCAGATATAAATCTTTCAATGATTGTTGTCTCAGCTGCAGGATCTTTGTTTTGAAGCTTTTTTACAATTTTTTTTGCCTACAAAAAAATGAATTCATTGATAAAAGATATGAGTTTTATATTAATTATTTACTTCTTCAAAAAAAGCAAATCGAAGTGCAGCTTCAGGCATAATTTTCACAACATTAATACCATTTCCACGCCATAAACTTGTAACACCACCTTCTTTGATTAAATATAGATAACTATTTATTATAGACATACGTTGTCTTGAGCCCAAATACTAAGAAACCTAACAATATTCATCGATTCTTTACAATTTTAGCGGGTAAAAAAAGCAATGCAGGTAATAAATGCTGTAAGTTACATACCTGCATAATAACTTTGAGTCGATCAAATGGAGCAGTAGCTGTTCTTGATACAGCACCAGCACAACCACCTGCTACAAGATTCTTCCATCGTAGTTCATTTTCAGTTTCACTATCTTCAGGCACAGCATATGGTGATTCACCTAAGTCTAAATGCTAATACAAAAGAAAAGAAAAACTAGAATTTAGTTTTTTTTGAACGGAATAAGTAATATACTGTTGCTCCACGCCAATATCGAAGCATTTCATGTGGGTCACCGGTAACAGTTTCAAGAATGGCAGGATTAACCATAAAGAAAGAACGCCATTCATCATACGAGATTTCTAAAGAATTACTTCGATCCATTCTAAACAGAATATAAATTATTTTTCTTAAAACCAATATATATATCTCATTACTTTTTCACTAATTTATTTGCCTCATCTAAATCAACTTTAATACCAAATTTTTGAAAATAATAAACTAAATCTTTTGCATCAAATTTACCTAAATGAAAAACAAGACATTTTAATAATCAATAAAATGTGTATTTACCCTGATGACTAGCATCTAAATTTCTAAAAGCAAGACTAAGCTTGTTTTCTTGTTTTAAAACATAATTAACAAATTGTGCAAATGAAAGAGAAGATGAAGTGGGTGATCCGCCTGCCTGATCGATAATACGCTAGAAAAGAAATTTCAAATCTTTTTATTCAATAAAAATTTAACTTACACGTGCAATAGCCGAACGATTATTTGTCGAAGTATCAACACCAACTTTTTCTAATAATTCATCAACCTCAATTCGACCATTATGATTCTTATCAAGTCGTCGAAAAAGTTCTCTATGTGAAAGATGATTTTCATTTAATTGCTGATGAATCTTTGCATCTTTTATTAGATCAGGAGAAGTATCATTCATCACATTAATTTTTATCTTATCCTATATTAACATGATAAATATTCTGAAGTAAAAATGAAACAGAAAAACATAATTTCATTCTTTTTTTTTTTTTTTTGTTTATTTTTTCGTTTGTTTAATTCTTTTTTCTGATTTTTTATTGTTTAACGCGCGCATTAATACACACAAAAAACAATGTGAATTCAGTGATAATAAAAACAAGCGCACGTATTTTTTTTATTTAAGCTTCATCGGCTGGTATTTTTTCGCTGACATAAATACCGTCAAGAAATTTACGGATATCTTTATTTTTAACTGCTGTTGACATTTGAATAAGCGCAGCTAAAAAAATATTAAGAAATAAAATATGGGAAAAGACAACAAGAAGAAAAAGATGAAGAATAATCTTTACCTGATCGTGATACAAGTTCAATATCGTTTCCTTCTAAAACAAGTTCATCTTTTTGTTTTGTACTAGCAGTTATTTTAACACCTGGTTGCATTTTAACACGACGAACATATTTTTCACCTAAAAAGTTACGAATTTCAACTGCTTGACCATTTTCCGTAACAACGGTATTGATTGGAAAGTGAGCGTATACTGATCGCATTTTGTAACAAAAACCCTATTAAAAAAGCACAAAATATAATTATTTTATTCGTTTAATGATAAACTTACTTTAGTAACACCTTTAACCATATTGTTAATATGCGAACAGATGGTACGAACAACAGCATTTTCCTTATTTGTACCAAACCATTTTTCAACAACGACTAAATTCTTTTTTGGCATTGAAATATCAACGCGAGCATGACGAAAGCTTCGTACAAGTTTGCCTCGTTTACCAGTTACTTGTACGACACGACTTTTTACGGTGACTTTAACTATAGATTTTAAAAAAATAGAAAAATTTACGTAAAAAATAATAAAGAAAAAAAGTACCGTCATCTGGTATAGCGAGTTGTTCACGAGCTTTGATGGGACGCATGATCGAATAATATCGAGATGGAAATAAAAATCGATCTAGAAAAATAGATATTTAAGTTCAAGCATTTCGTTTCGTTTTTCCTAATATTCAAAATGAAATCTATGATTGGCTAGTATTGGTAAAATATGGAATGAATTTATTTTAACCTTTTATTAAATTCAAAATTCAATTCAATTTTTATATTTATTAATCCAAATTATTTGTATTTTGATCTTTTCTAATAGATATATTCGTAAAAATACCTAAGTGCATTGATGTGATGATTTACTTCAATGAGTCATATAGATGTAGTTGCTAAGTAACTCCTAAATGTAATGCTTGTCAATCGGCAGGAACTTTTCTTTTCTTTTTTATTTCTGCGTGTGTGTGCTCGTTTATTTTAACTAAATTAAAATTAAACAATGACATCAACTTATCGTCCAAATGAATCGAAACGTGAAGAATTTCGTCGTTATCTCGAAAAAGGCGGTGTTGTCGATTCTATTACACGTCTGTTTGCTCTTATTATTAAGTTCTCTTTAAGATTATCTTGTTGTTCATCTATTTTAGGAGCATTAGTTGCTTTATATGAAGAAGCTGAAAAACCAAATAATGCTGCAGAATTTGTTCGTCGTTTTATGGGTGGAACAGGACCTGATACAGCTGAAATTGAAACATTAAAAAATGAATTAATGGCTGCACGCGAAAAACATGAAGAATTAACACGAGAAAATGAAGCATTAAAAGAGAAATTACAAAAATATGAAAGTGGACAATAAATAAAAGATCTTTTTTTTATCCAAAAATAAAACTTTTCTTTTTTTTTTTCTTTAATCATATGTTTTTTTCTTTTTCAATAAACTCTTATAGATGAAATGAAAATGCTTGCTAACGAATCTGAATTCCGTGTTAAAGTAGCTGTTCGCGTAAGTTAAATCAAATAAATTTTTTAATTTTCTATCGAAAAATAAATTCATTTAGGTTCGACCATTTTTACAACGAGAAAAAAATCATGAACAAAAAAGTTGTGTTACTATTCATCCACAAACGAATCAAATTGTATTAGGTGATAGAAGAACATTTAAATATGATTTTGTTTTTGGACCAAAAACTCTACAAGTAAGAACGATTAAGAATTAAGATGATATTATAAATTTTTTTAGGAGGAACTATATCGAACAAGTGTAGAACCAATGCTTACGAATGTTTTCGATGGATATAATGTTACAATTTTTGCTTATGGTCAAACTGTACGATCAAATTTATTTTCCGTTAAATTATTTATTTATTTATTTAACAATTAGGGTTCAGGAAAAACATATACTATGACAGGTGGAAATATTTTATCTATTAGTGAAAAAGATTATGGTATTGTTCCTCGTGCTGTTAAAACTATATTTGATACTATTAGAGTTCGTATATTATTTAAAAGAAATAGAGAAAAATATTTTTTTTTATTTTAGAGTCGAAAAGATAGTCAAATAACTATATCTGCATCTTATTTAGAAATCTATAAAGATGATATTATTGATTTACTGGGTGTTAATGATAAAGATTTAGATGTACGAGATGATGCAGCTGGAAATACAAGTAAAATTATTCATATTTTATTTTTTCTCTCAATATGATTACGATTTAATTTTAGTTGTGATTGGTGCAAGTGAACATACATGCCATTCGATCGAAGATGTAGTTGGTCTGTTGAAAAAAGGTTCAAATGTTAGACATACAGGTGCAACACAAATGAATGATGAATCATCCAGATCACATGCGATATTTACTCTATATATTGGTAAAATAATTTATATTAAGCAGATGAAAGAAAAAAAGATCTCGATTGAATTTTTAGAACAACGTCTTCGTGATAAAAATTCAACTAATGTACAAGCTTCATTTGATGGTCTAGTTAAACCATTACAATCAACATTTGATGGTAAATAATTGTAATTTATAAGAACAAATTAGTTGATTTTCTTTTGTGTTTAGAAAGTTATCTTTCGGCTAAACTTCATTTTGTTGATTTGGCCGGTTCAGAACGTGTTGCACGTACACAAAATACAGGTGAACGTTTTCAAGAATCTATACGTATTAATTCGGGTTTATTGGCACTTGGTAATGTTGTTAGTGCATTATCCGATCCAAAAAAACGTACCGGTGGTCATATACCTTATCGTGATTCTAAAATTACCCGTTTACTCAAAGATTCTCTTGGTGGCAATGCAAAAACATTGATGATTACATGTAAAATTCTTTTTTCAATTCAATTCCTATTATTTGTAACATACATATATTTTTTAGGCGTTAGTCCATGTACTGCTGATCTTGATGAATCTCTTAATGCTCTTAAATATGCTCATAGAGTATGTTAATTAATTCTCTTTCATTTTTTTAAAAATATAATTCATTAAAGGCCAGTCAAATTCGTAATAAACCAATAAAAAATGTTGATCCAAATGCTCAACGTTTTATTGAAATGCAGAGTGAAATTACTGTAAATAAATTTAAATAGATATTTCAATAGATTAATCTATAAACTATTTTCTAGTATCTACGAGAAGAATTAGCACGACAACGAACAGTTATTTCACATGATGGACAATCACTAAGCGGTCGAAAATCAAGGTAACTTTTTATAAATAGAAAATTAAACTTTGTTTTGTTTTTAAATTTAGTGGATATAATAGTAATGATCATTCACGTCGATTGATTCAAACAGCTTTTGTTTGTTTTCAACAATTGAATGAATGTGAAGATTTAACTAACGAACAAAAAAATTGGATACATACATGGATGGATGCATTTTCAAATGTAAGGTTTTTGTATAAGATAAAAATGTATTATATTGTATATTTCTAGGAAAATTCCGAAGAATTATTTAGTGATATATTGACATCTCGTGTATCAAATTTAGAAAGTGCTTTACATTCGGTAAAAATAAAAAATAAAAAAGATCAAAATAAATTTATTTTTCTAGGCAAAAGATGAATTAAAATCCGAATCTCAAATACGTGCAAAACGTGATATGACAGTTGATCGATTGCAAGAACAGCTTAAAGTGAAGGTAATTCGAAAAAAAAATCATATTTAATCTCCTTATTCTATTTTATTTAATAATTAGGAAGATGAATTAAACCGTATGCGAAATGTATTAGATGAATCAAGTTATCATATATCAACGACAAAAAAATCTTTACCTGATCGAACTAAATCAGCACCACATTTCAATGGCATCCATAAAAAGGTGAATCAACAAGCGACACTTGAAATTATTATTATATTTTTCTTCGATTTCATAGGAACAATCAATTCAACCACGTACGATACATTCTAGTCCAGCTGCATTCGATATGGATTATGTTGTTGAAAGATTTCATGGACGATCACTTGCATTAGCTCATTCACAAGAAGAAATTGAAGAATTAGATTTAAGAGATAGTAATGAAAAATTAACCGATGAAAGGTAATACAATAGTATATAAATGAATATGTGAGAATAATATTTTTATTTCATCTAGAAAATTTACTCGACGTGGTACATATCGTCTTCGTAAGAATCGTATGACACCAACTATTTTACAAGAAGATGAAACACTTCAAGCATTAGCTCAATCAACTATAAACAAACAAAAATTAATTGAAGAAGCCACGCGAAATGTTAGAGAAGCTGAAAGTAAAGCTCAAGATCTTAGTATTAATATTCAGTAAATATATATATTCTTTTATTTTTGTTTCATTTGAAATTTTTTTTCATTGTTAGGTTAAAAGAACAATTAATTAAAAGTGTTTATGCATCAACAAAAGATGTTAAAGATACAAATGATCAATATGAACAACATATTAAAATGTTAGAAAAAGTAAATATTTTCTAAAGATAATTTCTTAATTTGTCTATTAAATATTCAGGAAGTAGATAAAGCTAAAACTGAATATCATGATTTACAAAAAGCAATGCAACAAATAGCAACTAAAAATACAAGTGAAAAATCAAAATTAGAAACGTATGAAATAATAGATTTGGTATCATCAATTTTTGTGTTTTGTTTTTTCTTTAGTGAATATCGAAAAAAATGTGATATGGCTAAAGCTCGTCTTGAATCATTACAGCAAAAAGAAAAGCAATATAGAGATTTAATGTCTAAACTATCAGGCAATAGTGAAAAGAGGTAAATATTATGTTTAATTTCATCTGTCGATTCTTTGTATTTAGAATAAGTGATCTTCAAGCAGCTCTCTTTCGTATGAAACAACAATATGAAACTGCTCAAAAACGTATTCGTGAAGAAGCTGAATTAAAAAATAAAGTTGAACAAGAACTTATACGTGAACAACAACGTATCCAAGAATTAACAATTCAATGTGATCAACAGAAAAAAATTTCAAAATTAAAAACAGAAGGTCTCGCTGCTGCTCAACGAAAATTACGTGGAGCACCGAATGGTAACACGCATGATGGAATAACAACACCAACGACAGCGATAGCATTTGAAGTTGAAATGGAAAAAATAGTTGCCGAAAGACAAGGATTAGAAATATTACGAGATGATATTCAAAAACGAGAAGAACTTATTCAAAAAAGAGAATTACTACTCAATGAACGTACAGAACTCGAAGCAAAAAAACTACGTACCAGTCAAGTATTAAATAAGGTTTAAGACAAAATCTGATTTATATATATATACAATGAATATTTATTTAGAGTTTAAAATCAGTCAATGATAAATTGAAAACTATTGATAAACAACAACCGGATCATCAGACGACACGTGAACAATTACTTAAACAAAAACGTTTATTTACTGAACGTTTAGAACAACAAGATTGTGTGTTATCACCAACTGAAGAAAGACGTTTAATTGAAATTGATGAAGCTATTGAAGCAATTGAATTAGCTATTGATTATCAAAAGAATCTTATTACTAAACGAGAACGAGATGTTCAGCAATCAATTCGAGCAAGTCAGGTATAGATAAACTTTGATATACAATATGGAAATACATTTGATACTTTATTTTTAGGGTCCTGATTCTCCTCTATTTAAAATAAGTCAGTTAAATGATAATGAATCGAAAGAACTTTGTCGTAAATTATTTGAAAAAGTCATTGATCTTAAAGAAGGAGATAATAAAAATCGACGTCAATTTGAAGAGATAAAAGTATGAATATATTTTACAAAATAATTTAACTTTTATTTATTGTCTTGTTTAGTCTCAATTACAAGAACAATCGGAAACAATTAATGAATTACAATCACGTCTTCAAGCATCAACACTTGATGCTGATCGTCGTTTAACATCTGTTCAGCAAACACATGAAGAAGAAAAACAATTATTTCTTGGCCAATTACAAGAATCAGCAAATCAAATCAAAGAACTTGAAAGAGATTTATATTTTTATAAACATAAAACAAGAGAATTACGTAAATCAATGGCAACATCAACAACAAGTGCACTTGATGGCTCAACAACAACAGGTATAGCACGACGAAAAGATTCAAATTCAATTGAAGATGATTTTCCAACACAAGTACCAACACCACGAACAGCTGTACAACAATATCAATCTGCTCCATTTCTTCTTAAAATAGGTAATCGTAGTAATTCATCACATCAAATACAACCAGATGATATAAAAAAACGATGATAATGCATCTAAATAAATCTGCTCATTTCACACAGTGAACGATTTCGTTAAAATTAATATAAACAAAGATTTTCTTCTATCTTTGTTTCTCTCAATTTTCATAATGTTATCATTATTGTTCGTTTCTTTTTTTCTTCTTCTAATCTTTGTTTGTCAGTCGTGTGTAACATGCTCTATGTTTTGTAGTTTTATGTGTGACACTTACTGTGGTTTTTCTTTTTGTACATGTTCCACGATTTAAATATGATGAACAAATAAAAATTTATTACACATAAAATTCATATATATCGGACTGAAATATAATTACAAAATATTACATTGTCGGAAACAACGAGCATCAATAATTTCCTTCTGAATAGAATATTTTCTATTGTCATTTACATCCTTTATTCTATCTTAAAAATTTATGCTAACAAAAGTTTCAAATAAATTATTCTTTTTTTTTTTCCTTTCTGTTCTCTTACTTTTTGATCATACTCAAATGCATTATAATTTTTCGTATTTCTCTAAAAACAGACCTATAAGTATGGAAGAGAAAAAGTCGACAACAGTGTAAAAGAATTTTTTTCTTTACCCAAGTAGTTTAATTTCGAGTGAGAAAAGGAGAGACATTGAAGTGTTAATTTCACAGCAGCATTAGCAACGTCCTTGCCGACCGGTGATGAATGATAATTTTTTTCAATAACTACCACACACTTTTTTTAACAACTAGTTATGACCTATATTAATCAAAATTATGATCCTATGTCCACTGTCCAATTAAGTCCATTTGTTGAAGGACAATGGCATCGTCTAGATACATATTCACCAGTTTGGACAAACTCGACCGATATACCTATGAATACTCAACAACGAACACATAGACCAACATCCGGCAAATTAAATGTTATTGATTCAATTGATATCAATACACTTAAATTAGATGATGAAATATTACTTAATGAATTACATGATATACGAAAAGGATCTGCGCTATTATCTCGAGTGAAAAATGCAAATCAAGAACAAGAAAAACAAGCAGTATCATCCAATTTTCTTCATGAATCAAAAATACCATTAAAACATAGTGTTCAAGAACCATCATTTGCATATCAATCACATAATAATACCACTGGTATTATTTCGTCTAACAAGGTAGACATATTTGCCTAAACTGCTAATCAAATTTTTTTTTGATCAAATATTTAACTGATTTGTTTTTCTTTCAGTCTATTCCTTTTGGACTTAATAATTGGAATGAAGTCAAAAAATTTCCTCATCTTAATTTTGGTCCAAAACCTCAACCGGCATTACTTGCTCAACTACGTCAATCAGCAATTATTCGTCAAAATACATTTGTTGCAAATGAACAGCGTCTTTCTACTCCGTTACCTATTTCTACACCAAAGCGAAGTCTTAGTAGTGCTCAGTCAAATCGTTATCATCGCCAATCACAACAATCCGAATCAACATTTAGACATGAAATAAATTCAACTGGTAGTAATGAAGATCAATTAACAGATGAATCATTATCTTTTATAAGAAAAGTACGTTTACATAGTGCACAAAGTAGTCGTTCAGGATCAATACATTTACTTAAAACTAAATCTGATCGTTCACGACCAAAACCGAATATCGATTTAACAACAGTTTTAATGAAACCATGGAGACAAGCAACATGGAATGATGATGGATTTGATAATTCAATTCCAAATTCACTTGATCTTATGCATCAAATATGTGGACCATCAACACCATTTGAACGAAATTTACGACAAGATTATCACAAGCAATTAAATTTATATAGAAGTGCATCGACGAAAGCTTGAAAAATAAGACATAGACTTAGCGACAAAATGATCTTTTTTTCTCAAATATTCTGTTCACATTTTTGTTTTGTATACTAATTATGCAATAAAACAACAAAGAACATTTTATTTAATTTTAAATAAATATCTTCATATTACCGAATGAAGAAAAACAATAGAATGCTATTCGTTAAACAATGTTTGACATCTAATTATTAAAACATTCATGTTTCGAGATCTATTTCTCTCTTTTTGTTTTATAACATGTGCAACGAAATGATTCATTACTGTCATATTGTCTGATGTTATGAACAAAAAACATAGAGAGAAAGAATAAAACCGCGCGTCGACGGAATAAACGAGAAGACTTCTTTGTATCTTTAATAAAACAATTATACATAGTCTTGTTACATTTTCTATGGATTATCTATAATTCTATTCAATTTTCATTTTTTTCGAATATTTATAAATATAAAAAAAATTTAATAATCAATGTCAACTGGTAAGATATCAAATTTAATCGTTTAAAATATGTCTCTTTATTTTTTCTACATATAAAGAAAACATCATTATCAAAGAAGAACTAATTAGTGATCGAAGTATTCATTTTTTAATTCCAGCACTTTCTGCAGGTATAAGAAAAAACAATAGTTATTCATATTTGTATCTATTTTTTTCTCTAAGATGAACCATCACATATTCTTAGTTTACCTGAAACATTTTCTATTCAACAAAATCCATTAGAAGTAAACTAGACATTTACATGCTTGATCATTAATACATATATATATATTTCAGATTCCATTACCATCAGGAAAATGTGTACTTGCACCAAGTCCAAGTGAATTATGTATATTTAATATAATAATTGTATTTAATTTAATGTAGATATGTATTTTATCTTTCAGTTCATTATTATGAATCGGTTCAACCACAAATGAATAGTATTATATCTTCATCGGAAGGTTTAATTGATCATTTAACATCCGAAAATTTTATTCATATTGTGGAAAATTTATCTGAATATTCTATTCCTTGTCCGGTAAATATAAATGATTCTCAGTATGAAAATCGAAGAGTTTGGATTTAGGTTTTACAAAGTCATGCTGATAAATCAACATCAATGATTTCAATGGATGATTTTGATGAAATAACATTAAATCAATCGACTAGGTAAATCTTATGATACTCAGTACATAACATTTTTTTCTTATAAAATATATTTCCAGTCCAACATATTATGATCCATTATGTGAATATTCTTCGCCAACAATTGATGATCCAAATTTATTTCTACACAATGAACAATTAACATCGTATTTAAATAATTTAAGTAATAGTTCATCAAATTGTGATATTAATTATCAATGGACCACATTACCAGTCGCAATATCATCAATAAATAATAGTATGAATTGGAAAAAAGTTCGTTCAAATGAAAATTGTAATAATAAAATCAAAGGACGAAATAATCGAAAACGTACAAAATTTTCTAATGATGATCTTGAAATATTAAATTTATTTTTTGAAACAAATCCAATGCCATCTCGATCAGACATATCAATTTTATCCGAAAAATTAGCTTATCCACGTTATATTGTACAAGTTAGTTCGATTTTTGCAATTATTTTTTCAATAGATCAAAACTAATTTTTTTAGGTATGGTTTTATAATAAACGTCAATCACTTAAACGAGCTAATTCATCATCATCTCAATTCAATAGAATTTTAAAATGAAAAAAATATTATTATTAATTTTCCTTTTTTTTAAATTTCAGAAATTTGTTTGAATTTTCTGTTCTTTTCAATAATAGAATATATTGTAGTCTTAATGTTCATTGATTTATATATTCCAAATAAAATTTTCATTGAATGATTGTGTTTAGCTTCTATGTACATTATGTTTGCTATCTATTTTTATTTCAGTAAAAATACATGATTAAATACTATAAAAAAAAAGAAGAGTCTTAAGGTGTGAGAAGAATTTTTTTCGTATTCATTGATTGTTGTGCTTGATCAATAGCTACTTTATAATCAGTTAATGAAAATGTTTGGCATTTTGGCGGTTTAAGATGACCATGTCGAATAAAACCAATTAATTCATGAAGCATTTTTGCGAATTCACTTCCTTTATAATTATCTTTTTTCCATTGAGTCATCCAAAAACCTTGACAAGTAAGATCACGAAATATAAATTCTGCTGTTGGAATAGTCACTGGTTGTTTACTCATACCACCGTATGTAACTAAGGTAGCTGATTTATCAAGTACACGAAGAAGATCACTTGTCGCTTTTCCACCAACACAATTAAAGCCAAGTTTTGGTCGAGGAATTGTTGACCAAAGAGTTGAACGAAGTGTTTCTATATTTATGAAATAGAATCTTTTATGATTTTAATAATTCTAAACAAACCTTTTCGTAAATCTTCTTCAATATAAATATGTTCAGCACCAAGTGATTTTAAATATGCTACTAATTCATTCATACCTTGATCTCGATTTCTTATAATATTAACAACATTAATATTCCATAATTTACCTAATTGTATTACTGCTTGTCCAACACTTGAATTTCCACCATTTTGTATAACTGTATCACCTTTTTCTAATGTTACAAAATCTTTTAATAATCTATATGCTGTGCAAGGATTGACTGATAATGTTGCAGCAGCTTCAATTTTAATATCCGAAGGAATTTTTATTAAATCATTTATTGATACGATTGCATGTGAACGCCAATTACCCCATTGAAGCATTTTAGGTATGACCCAATCACCAGGACGAAGTTGTTCATTTGATGCACGATGATCAATAACTTGAAAAACACCTTCATTACCAAATGTTGCTGGTAATGATGATGGAAGTAATGCATATTTTCCTTCAATTGTATTTATATCTGCTGGATTTATTGGTGATGCTAATAATTGAATTAATACTTCATTAGCTTTTAATTGATTTGAATCAAGTGTTGTTGTTTGATTCAATTTAAGTACCTCATTGGGTATACCATATTGATCAGCTTGAATTTCTTGAACTGCATATGTCGACGAGAGACGATGATAAAATGAAGTATTAAAACGTTTGAAAAGTATTACGGACGACCTCATATTATCTAAAATAAACGTAAACTATTCTCACGTGCATTTTCGATTATCAGTGATAACGAACTAGTTAATATGATTAAAAATAACTGTCTGTGTATGATCATCATCGTATCCCATGAAAATATATTGAACCATTCAAAAATAACTGATGTCACTACAATCGTAACCAATCATGTATGAGCAAATATTCATATCAAATTCTTTGTTTATTTTATGCTTTATTACATGATATAGTTCATTTCATTTAAGAAAATATTCAAAAATGCCAACAATGCGGGGAGATGCTATGCGTGGCTTAGCTGTATTTATATCAGACATTCGAAATTGTAAAAAAATTAAAATTTAATTAATTAAAATGATTAGTTGAACATTTTTGTTTCATTAGGTAAAAGTCGAGAAGCAGAATTACGACGTATTAATAAAGAATTAACAAATATTCGTCAAAGATTTCGAGGTTAAATAAATTATTTTAATTAAAATTTAAATTATTTCATTTATCTTAGCTGATAAAACTCTTGATGGATATCAAAAGAAGAAATATGTATGCAAATTATTATTTATATTTTTACTTGGACATGATATTGATTTTGGTTATATGGAAGCAGTTAATTTATTAAGTTCAAATAAATATACTGAAAAACAAATTGTTTGTATTAAAGACAAAAAACATTCTATAAATAAATATAGAATATTTTAGGGTTATTTATTTATTTCGGTTATTATGAATTCAAGTACAGAAATGAAACAATTAATTATACAAAATATTCGAAATGATTTACAAAGTCGAAATCCAATATTTATTAATTTAGCATTACAATGTGTAGCAAATATTGGTGATAGAGAAATGGCTGTTGCCTTTACGAATGATATTCCACGTTTACTTATATCAGGGTTTGATTTTTTAGAAAGTTACATCTGGCATTGAACGTATTTATATTTAGAGATACAATAGATGCAGTTAAACAATCAGCTGCACTTTGTTTATTAAGACTTCATCGTACAAGTCCAGATTCATTACAATTAAATACAGAATGGACAGCAAGAATTATTCATTTACTTAATGATCAACATTTAGTACGAGAATATTATTTATTAAGAAAAAAATTATGTATTGTTGTTTTTTATAGGGTGTAGCTACAGCTGCTGTTAGTTTAATTGATGCATTGGTTAAACGAAATCCAGATGAATATAAAGGATGTGTTAATTTAGCTGTATCGCGTCTAAGCAGAGTATGTTTTCCGAAGATTAGAGGGTGTGGGTGTTTGTTTAAAGACTAAATATTCTAATTTATATAGATTGTCACTTCATCATATACTGATTTTCAAGATTATACATATTATTTTGTACCAGCTCCATGGCTTTGTGTTAAATTATTACGTTTACTACAAAATTATCCTCCACCAGGTAATATAAACTTGTAAAAATTCTCGTAAAATAATTGATAAGTATATATTAGATGATCCATCTATTCGAAGCCGTTTAAATGAATGTCTTGATACAATTCTTAATAAAGCTCAAGAACCATTAAAATCTAAAAAAGTCCAACATTCTAATGCGCGCAATGCTGTTCTATTTGAAGCTATTAATCTTATAATTCATATGGATTGTGAATCAAGTTTACTAGTACGTGCATGTAATCAACTTGGACAATTTTTACAAAATCGTGAAACAAATCTTCGATATCTTGCATTGGAAAGTATGTGTTTATTAGCAGCATCAGAATTTTCACATGAAGCAGTTAAAAAACATCAAGATACTGTAATTAATGCATTAAAAGTAAGTAATGATAAAAAACGAAAATAATTTTGTTTAATTGATAATAATTTATTTAAGAGTGAACGTGATGTTAGTGTACGTCAACGTGCTGTTGATCTTTTATATGCAATGTGTGATCGTTCAAATGCTCAAGATCTTGTACAGGAAATGTTAACATATCTTGAAACAGCTGATTATACAATTCGAGAAGAAATGGTTAAAACTTAGAATTATTTTTATTTTTATTGAAATAAATTTTCTATTTTTTTAGGTTCTTAAAATTGCAATATTAAGTGAGAAATATGCAGTTGATTATAAATGGTATTTAGATGTTATGCTTAAACTAATACGTATTGCTGGTGATTTTGTTTCAGAAGAAGTAAATATTTGTGTCTATAGTTTCTGAAGAAACAAATATAGAATTGCTTTTATTTTACTAGGTATGGTATCGTGTCATACAAGTAGTTGTTAATCGAACTGATGTACAAAGTTATGCAGCTAAAATTGCATTTGAAGCACTTCAAGCACCGGCTTGTCATGAAAATATGGTGAAAGTAGCTGGATATATTCTTGGTGAATATGGAAATTTAATTGCATTAGATCCAAGATCAACGTAAGAGAGAGAAAAAAGAATACAAATTTAAGAATTGTATGAGTATATCTTACAGGCCAATCATTCAATTTGATTTACTTCATTCAAAATATCATTTATGTTCACCAACTACCCGTTGTTTAATTTTATCAACTTATATGAAATTTGTTAATCTATTTCCGGAAATCAAACATCATATTCAAGATGTAAGTATCAATACCAGATCGATATGTTCTATGAATATTATTCTCGTTGTGTAGATTCTTCGTCATGATTCAAATCATCGTAGTTCTGATGTAGAAATTCAGCAACGTGCAACAGAATATCTTAAATTAAGTGAAGTATGTAATCCAACTGTATTGGCTACTATTCTCGAAATTATGCCACCTTATCCGGAAAAACAATCACCATTACTTGTTCGACTAAAACAAAAGAAACCTTTAACAGAACCTGAAGGTGTTACTGAATCACAATCACCACCACCAACAACAACAGGACACAATGGTGATGGTCCAAAACTAACTGAAACAGCTGTAAGAAATGTCTAAAAAATAATTGTTTCTTCAACTATCTTCTGTTTTGTTTTAGATTCATCTTAATCAACAACACCAACAACAACAAAATGGTCTTCTTTTATCTCTTGATACTCCCGAATCCAATGGTTACTATGAAGAATCAACATCGAAACCTTCTTCATCCACGCTTCAATCAGCAAAAAAATTCTTATTTAAAAACAGTGATATTCTATTTGAGAATGATTTAATTCAAATTGGTATTAAAGGTGAAACAATAAAAAGTACAATACATATTGAATTATATTATGGAAATAAAACAACATTACAACTAACAAATTTTTCAACAAATATTTTCGCATTAGGAGAATTAGAATCTGGTAAATAATTTTTTTTTCTTTTCGTTTTTTTATCTTTCAATGAAAATTTTCTATACAATAAGAACTTCGAATTAATATGGAACCTGTCAAATCAACAATTGATCCAAGAGCACAAAGTAAACAGACCGGTACAATTGATTGTATAGCAGATTTCCGTGATTTACCAATGATGAACATCTCATTTCTGTAAATTTAGTTGTTTATCTAAAATAAAAAAAAAATCTTTGATTATTTCTTTTAGTTATAATAACATGTTACAAAAAATTGATTGTCCATTTCCAATATATATAAATAAATTTATTGAAAAAGCTGAAATGGATTCCAATAATTTCTTTCTTCGATGGAGAAATCTTGAAAAGTAAAAATTTTTATTTAAAAAAAAAATAACGTCAAAAACGTTAATCATTTGATTTACAGACCTAGTCAAGAATGTCAAAAGATTTTTCCAGCAAAATTTCCCATGATACATGAAGATTGTCGTCAAAAAGTATGTTTTGAATTAATTTAGTTTTTTTTTCTTTCACTTTTATTTGTAAATTTAGCTTGATGATTTTGGTTGGAGTTGTTTAATGGGAATAGATGTTAATGCTGAGAATTTTTGTGGTGCAGGTATTATTCATACAACATCACAAGCTATTGGATGTCTTTATAGACTTGAACCAAATAAACAAGCAAAAGTAAAAATTTTTCTTTTAAATTTAACTTTAATTTAATTTTATTGTTTAGATGTATCGTTTAACAATTCGTGCAAGTAAAGATGATGTTGCTAATCGATTAGTTGAATTACTTGATGATCAATTTTAAAATGCAATGTCTTTTTTATATCGTGCAATATACATCTTTTTTCTTTTTTTTTTATACCGGTCATTTATATCATGCAATAATATATATATATGTTGTATTTTAATATTAGGAAAAAAAAGAGTCTCGTTTATCATGTCTTCGTGTATAGTGATTGTTCCTATTGTCACCACCTACTGTGATTTTTTTATCAACATATTGACAACCTTTTTACTCTCATATTCATTTACCTATTCTATATATTGTTGAAAAATAAAGCAAAACTAATTTTTTGTTTTCTTTCTTTTTCAGATTTTGTGATCAACTATGTCGTCAGATAGTAAGTTTTCTAAACGGTAATTATATGGTAATACATGATTTGTATTATTTCAAAATAGGATGTCGAAGGCAAATTAAGACACGAGGCAATGATGCACAACGATTAAATGCATTGGAAGAATTAAAACGTGCAAGACAAGGTGGTCAAGGAGTAATCGCCGAACAAGTAAATTACTTCATTTGTTGCTACAATTTAGATTACAATTAATTTAAATTTTAGCCACCAGTAACAAATGAACCAGAAGAAGAAGAGGAAGATGATGAGCAATATGAAAGTGATTCAGAGAATTATGAAGATATTAAACCATCTACGAAACGAAAATCTAGTAATTCTCATCACAAAGATTCTAAACGTTCGTATTATAATAAAAATAAATTTATTTGAACTATTCGTTTTATTTAAAAATTTTTAGGATTAAAGAAAAAACAACATTATTCTGATAATGAAGATGATGATGATGATCAACAAACAAAATCCTCGGAACCCAAACGCCGTGCTCAAACTTTTGCTAAACCTCAAGAAGAATCAACAGGCATGCATGATATTAAATCAATGTTTGCTGCTAATAAAACACGAGTTGTTCAACGACAAGAACAAGTAATTCAATTTATTATTCAAGTCTTTTCAAAAACAAAAACGATTCATTTTATTTAGAATGAAAAAGATGAGTCAGATAAATTACTCTCCGATATCATGTTCGAATTACAAAAACCAAAACTCAAACCAACTCATCCTGCACCACAATCACTACCACCACCACCACCACCACCTATGCAACCTGCGAAAAAAATTGAAGTTAAACCAGTTGAAGTACCTCGTCCTGAAGAAAGCAAACCTGTCTATAATCCTGAACCTTCAGTACAACATGGAAAAGAACTTGATTGGGGTGATGATGATAGTATGAGTTTTGATGCTGTATCAAAACTAATGAACGATGCAGCTCCACCACCAAAACCTTTATCACCACCTCGAGTATCTAAATCTTTAATTCAATTTGATACTCAAGAACTTGAATTTGTAACCGATGAACAATTATTAAAATCTGCTCGAACATTTCATACATCACCATCAAAAGAAACTAATCAGAATGAAATCACAAATAAAGATGAACATTTAAGATTTTTTTGGTTTGATGCTTATGAAGATCCGACTGCTCAACCTGGTAAATTATTTCTATTTGGTAAAACACCATTATTAAATGAAGATAAACCAACAAATAAAACATTCGTCAGTATTTGTTTAATTATCGATAATATACCAAAACAAGTCTTTTTTATACCAAAACCTGGCGTAAGTTTTTTTTTATATTTCTTTTGAACTAAATTTTAATCTTTACTCTTATTTCTATCTATAGAATTCATCATCGGATGTTGAAGATGAATTATTTATCATTGCCAAACGATTTAAAATAACAAATTATACATCATCAGTAAATAAAATAAATGCTTTTTTCTTATTTTATTAAATTTAATTTTTTAGATTGTCAAAAGAAAACGTTTTGATCCTGAATTAGTTTCTACTGATATTCTCAATGAAATCGATGTTGTTGAAATGAAATATCCAGTAAGATATTTCTTCTACGTATTTATTTTCTAGAAATTTAATTATAGGCACGTTGTGCAACATTACCAACTGATTTACAAGGTGATACATTTCAATGTGTTTATGGTACAAATCAATTAGCACTTGAATATGTATTAATTGATAAAAAACTTAAAGGACCATGTTGGTTAAATATTAAAAATTGTGGTTTGTAATCTTAAATGATTAATAGAAAGAAAATTATTTTGTTTTTCTTCTAGCACCCGTTAAAAATCGACGAAGTTGGTGTAAACTTGAATATGATGTTGATTATTATAATGCACTTGATCGTCAATCAACAAATATTGAAATTAGTACAGTAACTTCACCACCACCACCCTTAGTAGCTGTTACTTTATCATTAGTTACATTACCCAACACTAAAACTCATGAAACTGAAGTAATAGAAAGAAAGTGATTTGCAGATTTCTATTAAATAATTTATTTAGGTTATTTGTGTTGCGGGACTTGTTCATCAACAATTTCCACTTGATAGTGCAGCACCAAAACGTCCCTATCAAAATTATTTTGTTGGTTAGTTTGTTTGTATTAATTAATATTTATTATTGACTTAATATTTTAGCATTAACTAAACCAAGTGATTGTATTCTTCCATCTAATCTTATTAAAGCTGCTGAATCTCAAGTATATATATATTGATATAAATAAAAATAAATTTTGCTTTTCTCTAGAAAATTAATATTGAAACTGTACCCGGTGAACGTGCTTTACTTATGTATTTAATATCAAAATTTCAAAAATTAGATCCTGATGTTATAATTGTAAGTAAAAAAAAAGAAAAGTGAATTTTCCTATCCTTAATTAATCAAGGGTCATGATATGCGTATGTTTGGTTTGGAATTATTTTTATCACGTTGTCAAAAACTAAAAGTTGGTCTAACAGCATCAAAAATTGGTCGTCTTCATCGAACACACGATGCAAAGACAAAAGTAAAGAATTTTATTCATTTCATCTCGTTTTTTTTACTATATAAATATTCAGGTTTCAACAATTAAAAATCCTACATGTGGTCGTCTTTTATGTGATATATCAGCATCTGCACGAGAATTATTAACAAAATGTAAATCATATGATCTGGAAGAATTATGTAAAACAGTTTTAAACAATGAACAACAACAACTCTATAGATCTTATTCAATTGATCAAACAAGAGATTCATTTAGGTATATCAATTATTTTATACTAAAGAAGTTAAACATAAAAATCCTATTTAGTTCATCCATGTCAGTTGTTGATCTTGTACAAGCAACATTAAATAATACATCATTAATATTAAATATCTTTTGTCAATTAATGGTCTTACCACTTGCTTATCAATTAACATGTATTGCTGGAAATTTATTAGTAATAAAATTATTTTATTCTCAAAAGATAAAATTCGTTTTATTTTTTAAATAGAGTCGAACATTAATGGGTGGACGATCAGAAAGAAATGATCATTTATTATTGCATGCATTTACTGAACGAGATTATATTGTACCAGAACGAACATTTATTTCAAATCATCGAACTGCAATTAAACATACACAAGATGTAATTTGAAAATGAAAAGAATATTTTGTTTTTTAATTTTGAATAATTTTAGATTCATCATGAATCGGATGAAGAAGTTGATGATGATAATAAGAAAACAACAAAAACATCAGCAACATCTTATACGGGAGGTCTTGTTTTAGCTCCGAAAAAAGGTTTCTATGATCATTTTATACTCCTGTTGGATTTCAACAGTTTATATCCATCAATTATTCAAGAATTTAATGTTTGCTTTACAACATATATGAAAAAACCAAATCAACCACGTTCAGTTAGTTGTTTTAATTATAAAAATATCTATTAATGATTTTGATTTATAGAATAATAATAACACTGAACAAGATCAGAATGAAATTGATGATATTGTTATTCTTGATGAAACAACAAAAGGTATTTTACCATTAGAAATTTATAAACTTGTTGAACGACGTCGTGAAGTGAAAAAATTAATCAAAGAAAAAAAGAATTTATCTGATGAACAACTTGTTCAAGTATGATTTAATATAAACTTTTTCAATAATTTTATTTAAATTAATTTATTTTTAGTATGATATTCGTCAGAAAGCATATAAATTAACAGCGAATAGTTTATATGGTTGTTTGGGTTTTAAACATTCAAGATTTTATTGTAAACAACTTGCTGCTTTTATTACATGTAAAGGTCGAGAAGTAAGAAAAATAATCGAATTAATTATTGAGAAAATATATTCATGAAATTATTTAGATTCTTATGCAAGCAAAAAATATTGTTGAACGAGTATGTTAAAATTTAGATTTGAAATATATATGATGGATTGTTTTATAGATGAATTATGATGTTGTTTATGGTGATACTGATAGTATTATGATTAATACGAATTCAATTGATTATGATCAAGTTATGGCTATTGGAGCCAAAGTAAGATATATTTTTCGGAAATAATATGTAGATGAATTTCATTTTGCTTTAGATTCGAAATGAAATTAATCGTCAATATAAAAGTATTGAAATTGGTATTGATGGTGTATTTAAATGCATGTTATTACTTAAAAAGAAGAAATATGCAGCATTAATTGTTGAAAAAACACCAACACAAGAGTTTAGCTATAAAACTGAATTGAAAGGTTTGGATATTGTTCGACGTGATTGGTGTCAATTAGCTCGATCAACTGGAGGGTAAATCGTTTTTTTTGTTTATTAAAATCAAATCTATTTTTATATTATTAAAAAAAAAAAGGTTTGTTGTATCTGTTATCCTTTCTGGTCAATCACGAGATGATGTTCTTGATACAATTCATAATCGATTACGAGATTTAGGTGATGAAATGCGTGCTGGAAAAATTGATATTGCTGAATATGAAATAAATCGAGTAAATCATTACTTAATATTTTTTTCCTAATAATAAATTCTTTTTGTTTTATTTAGCAACTTTCGAAAGATCCAAGTGATTATTCTGATTCAAAAAGTTTACCACATGTTCAAATAGCTATACGTTTCAATACAAATTCTACTGGAAGAAAAATGAAACGTGGTGACACTATTGCATATATTGTTTGCGAAGTATGATATTTATTAAATGAATTTAAATAAATAAAAATATTTTCCTTGTTTTTTAGGATGGTACACAAAATTCTGCTATGCAACGTGGTTATTTACGTGAAGAAATTTTATCTTCATCATTATCATCAACATTAACTATTGATATAAATTATTATTTACATCAACAGATTTTACCTGTTATATCACGTTTATTAGAACCATTTGATGGTACTGATCAAGCATATCTTGCTCAATGTCTTGGTTTAGATTCATCGAAATATAAAAATCGTCAACAAAAACATACGACAATAAAAGATGATGAAAATAATTTAGAGAATAATATTGATGATGGTTTAGATGATGAATTACTTTTTGGTGAAGGTTCAGAAGCATTTAAACAATGTGATCCATTTGTATTTCCTTGTGTTAAATGTGAAACATTGAATTTTTGGAATACACCATTTATTTTTAATGAGGTAGATCATTAATTAATAATTTGTTTATCATATTTTAAATGTAATATTTCAGGATAAAACATGTATATCACCATTTCTACGTTGTACAAACGTCAACTGTTCCAATCAACCAATTGATCAAATATCTTATTTACGCAATCGTCTTACCTTAATGATTAATAAAGCAATTCGACGTTATTATCAAGTATAGATTTGTTTTTTTTCTTAAATTCTATTTACTAATATTTTTCACATAGAATTGGCTTCGTTGTGAAGATGATACATGTTGTGCATTTCGAACACGTCAAACACCATTAGAAGTATTATATAAAAAACATACATGTATATCATGTAATAAAAGTGAACTTATAAATGAAGTAAATATAAAAAATACAAAAATTCTTTTTACATATTTTATTTTGTTTAGTATGATGATCGACAATTAAATTTACAACTTCGATTTCTTAAGCAATTGTTTAATCTTGATGCTTATAGACAATCATTAAATCGTACGAAATCAGGTATAAAAAAAATACTTTTTAATTTCTTATTAAATCATGTTAATTAATTTAGAACAAATTGATACTTATTTTAAAAGTTTATCTACTGATACAACACGTTCAATTTATAAAACAATGAATGAATTACAAGTACATATTGATCGCATTGTACAAAAAAGTGGTTATGCAGAAGTATGCATTAGCGATCTATTTGCTCAATTTTACTTTAATAGTTAAAATAAAAAGATACATATACATATATTTTGTTATTGTTGTTGTTGTTATTAAAATGTAATAGATATATTTTTCTTTATTTGTGAAATAAAAAAATTGAAGAAATGCTTTTGTTAATATTAGCAATGTATTCATTGATAAGAGGATTTAGACAAAAAAAAAGATTTTTACTAAATGGAATAAACTTAATTCAAATGTGATGATAACTTTGTAGTTTTACTTTCATAAATCGAATATTAATAAGGGTGTTGATGTACTTTGTATGTCACACCCACACCCTCTAATGACTTTGCATCAGTGCTGGTATTTATTATATATTAATAAAGTGAAAAGAACAATAAAAAACTTTCTACAATACCACAATGAAGAGTGATGACAATAGTATAGTAATAAAAATAGAGATATAAATTGTAGTTTTGTTTAATTTATATTCGGAGTGCTGGATTATAATAAACGGGAGTGGCCATTGAATCAAGTTCTCTCACTTTTTATTTGTTTTGTCTTTCTCGTCAGTAGACTCCATATTCTTTTGATCATTGATTAAAAAGATTCCACTACTACCATCTTCTTTTCGTTGTTCACTTTGATCTTTATTAATAATTGCTTGTGTATATGAATCACCAGTCGACGTTTGACTGTTTTCTGCTTGATTGGAAGTCATCTTTGCTAGACTACCTTCAGCCTGTGCTGTAGACATTTTTTTTGCTAAATTCTATAGTTTAATGAAGAATCAAAATAAAGGAAATAAAAAGTTCTTATATCGCTTAAACTAATCAAACTCTACAAGCTCGATTCTAATAAAATATACCTTACATGTCATGTTAGATGATGGTACAATTTCTTTATTGCTCAAATTATCTTACTAATGATTGTCCTTAGTGGGACCATCTTCGTTGCACAATGAAACTCGAGAACTAAGTGAGAAACAACAGATGTGAGTGTCATTAACTAACTCGAGCGCGATTTCAATAGTAATCTACCATTTTTTTAAGAGTTAAAAAAATATAAGCATAATAACTACGATTAGCCGACCGGTTTGAACGACATAGTTCATTGCTAAATACACTCAGAAGTATAGTTTCTTCTTACCTAAATATAAATTACTTTGTATTGCTTTTAAACAATGTGTTTGAGTTTGGTCGTCTTGAAAATATGTGAAGGAGAAAAAAGAAAGTACAGTTAAAAGTAATCAGATTCTTCATTCTTGCCTGTGGAGAAAAAAGAGAAGAAAAGAAAAGAAAAGAAAAAAAATTGTGCTTATGTATTTTAATACAGTATTTCTTACGAACAAAATAAAATGCATTTGTAACGACAAACTAAAGGAGTAGCTTTACCGTTACCATCGGCATGACGTTTATTGACTACTCCATAACTCCAGAATGTAACAATAGGAGGTGTGCGCTCGACGGATTTGAATCCGTGCGGTTAGGTATGCAAGAGTTCCGATGGATATCGAATTTTCTTGCGGCGCCATTGAAGGCTATGAAAAATTATCGATCCATGTTCTTTGGTCATGTATTGAGGAAAAGAATGTAATCATTGGCTCATTATTTTCAACTTAGCAGCTACACGTTTATTTGTTTTTCGTATCTTTCCTTTCTTATCATTTTTCATGCTGAACTTCGATTATTGATTTTTATCAATGTGCGAAAAAAAAATTCATTTGATTTTTATAGTTAATATCTGAAGGGGTGGGTGGATGTGTGAGCGCGGGTGGATGAAGGTGAAGAAACACCCACATCCACACCCTTCGTTTACAAAGCTTCCGTTATCTTTCTTTCGTATGTTTATTGATACAACAGTATTTATTGACAAAGGATAGACAAAGAATATGCTGGCCTAAAAGTAACGATACTGAAAAAAACAAGAATATCTATACTCTAGTTTGAACAAACGGGCTCATTATTTTTACCAAGAGTAAGGGCATATTCACACTCCGAATTCATACAAACAGGGTTAGCGAGAACCTCTATTACGTATCAATAATAATCTCAACAAGAAAATTTTACTTTTTCACAGATATGAAAAAAACAATACACTAAATCCCCTCCCATAAAAGAAGCCCATCCCTTATTAAAAGTCCACTTTTGAGAATCTCTTCAACAAGATTTCTATTTTTTTCCAGCGAAACTCGGTCAAAGTTTAGGTGAGGCTGCATATACGTGTGTGGGTGGATGTGAGTGTTGAGGTTGATGGGTATGAGCGAAAGTATTCTCATCATCTCACCCACATTCACAACTATACCAACACCTAAATCAGACCCACACCCGCCCAAACCCACACAAATCCACACCCTGATGTAAGCGATCTCTTCTAATAAACACAAAGTGAGAGAGAAATGATAAGGATCTAATGTTACTTATTCAATATAACTCGTTATTTACTCATACTTTCTATTTTATCTTTCCTTTTTCGATGTTACATTATTAATAAGGCTTGCACAACAACACAAAAGGAGTTTTGAGAACGAATATAAAGATGCCCTTGAGCTTATTGAAACTTTGGACTTTGCTACTTGCATTACTTGTGCACATAAAATATTTAAGTCAAACTTCTGTATATAGAGAACGTTTGTAATAATCCGAAACGTATCGACGACCTAACTTTACATTACTTGAATCCATTATATACTAGCACATTATCTGGGATATTATTAGTTTGTGACAAAAGAGGTCGATTACTGAAAAGCGAAAGCTGAAATCAGCAGATTGAACTTGTCTTTTCTTCAAGGGATAAACCAGTCTGTTTCAATTGATTCGCACCTACCCTTTTTGTATCAGAAACTTTCTGCGACCTACTATGACTGTTTAGAAAGAAGAAATCGAAAGTTTTGGAGGTAGCCGATTTTGCCTCGTATCGACCCCGGGTTCTTTTATCAATACATATTCGAAACTACATCCTACAATATAAAAAAAACTGAACAATTAAATATAGCTGATTTATTTTTCAAGATACGAATCAAACAAAAAATTAGAACTGTTTGTTAATCAATTTTATGAGCCATTATAGGGTGTGGGTGTCTTCTTCTTCGGCATACCAACATCCACACCCTGGGACCAGAGCTTTTTCATGGCTGTTCAGAAGTCCGATCCAAATTGCTTATTTTTCCCTCGCAACTAGATCAAAATGAGCTGCATTAAACGGCGTGTGAACTAGCTCTTCATCTATTATACTTCTTAAGATAATAAAAAAAATAATGTGTCAAAGCTCGCATCCTTACGTCTGAACAAGCCGAGCTACTATTTCTATGTGAAGACGAGTCAGTTGAATCGATCTAACGCGAAGAAAAAGCTTCATTAAATATCAACTTATATAAGATCTGACAACAACTGGTTATCAGCGTGCGAGCAAACTAGGTTTCGATATATACCGCTCTTTTCTTCGTATGATAATGTCAACAGAAGTTGCAAGTAGGACAAAAGCTGCTCTTATGATGATATTAACAAATGATAACAACTCTTTCTCGCAAAAATAACAAAGAAAAGCTCACCTGTAAATATTTGTAATATATATCAACGACGTATATCTTCAGCAAGTTTTTCCTGTACTTTAACAGTATATATCAGGTAGAGTATTGTTTGAGATGTTTAACACATTCGCCCTGGTAGGCATATTCTTTTTCATGATCCTTGGAAGCTTCTATTTTTATATTCATAGCAGTTTTAACAGAGCGGATAATCCGTAATCCTTCACTGTTTTCAGTCTTATTGTCATCACACTGTTGTTATATGTTCGTTCGAGTTAAATTTTAGATTGCAGAATATGGTAAAGATTCCTCTATCCAATCAACTGTTTTTCGATGAAAAACAATAAGATTTGAGTGAGCAGTGTTCGCGACAAATGAACCTACTTCGATATTTGTTCCATTCTGGGCGCTTCGTAATTGCATCATTTCAGTTCAAATGCATGCAACGATCAGAAAAAACTGATTTTCACTCATAAGATCGCAGCTTTTCTTATTGAAGTTCATATCACGAGATCCGCCGCAGCGAGCTTTATCAACTGATGTAGTTTTTCACTTCGACTAGACCAGATGTGCATGGTGTTTTAGGCGTTTTTATCAAATTTTTCGTGTGATACAGTTAAGTGACACATTCCATTTCAACCACGCCAGCTGTCTCTTTCCTAGTTTCATTACATGATATAAAACGCATGGGAAATTTATCGAAATCAGAAAATAAGATGTATGGTGCTACCCAAAGTACCAGGTTTCGTAAAACAGTCAAGAGAACAAAGCTAGCTAACGTAAAGTCCTGTCGATTTATGCCAAAGACGGTGAGTTTTGCGATACTATTATGTATGTTTTCCTATATCTTACCGTGAGTATTTCTTTCCCAGTACGAATACGTGCATTAGCATTGTCATAAGCTATTGTTTTACACAGACTGGTCTACGGCTTGAAAGGGCAAAGTATTTGGTAATTTCTCGTCCGCTTAACAGTCACTGTTTGATACTGAGGTTTGAAAAGGGCTACCTAGAGTCAAAATGTTGTGCGCTTTTTAAATATATTCTCAGAAATTGTTCTAAAACACGGCTTACTGTTATTGTGAGGATAATAAAGGAACAGTTTATCTCAACGGTTCTACATTTAACTTATCGACTCTAATGCGGAACAGAACTATTTTAAGATCTATGCAAGGAAAATTGCGATGGCCAAAATCTAATTGTAGATTATGAGGAAATTGCAGTCTTTAATATGATATTGAAATCACCTTCGTTCGTTCTATTTTAGGCGGGATCTATTGAACTTCATTCTTCCAAGATGGTTGATCAATTTGTTCTTCGCTCTGCAGTTGACGCAGACAGCATTGCACTTTCCCAACTTAGACAACATACATTTCTTGAAACATTCGTCGAAGATTTTGCTATTCCCTATCCTGAGCATGATCTCAAGTCTTACTTTCGTTTATCGGCTAGTCCGGAAGCAGTTGCTAGCAAAATTGCTGATCCACAACTAGCGACCTGGGTAATGGAAGACAAAACTAGTAATGAGCTTGTGGCTTTCGCTATGGCTGGTCCGTGTGAACTGCCTCATCCTGATGTTTGCCCGGGAGAAGATGGAGAGCTCCGCTACTTATTTGTTCGACGCGACCAACGAGCCCGAGGTCATGGTAAACGCCTGATGAATGTGGCCTTAACGTGGCTACAAGAGCGATACACCAAACGACCTGTCTGGATCTCTGTATGGTCCGGCAATTTGAAGGCACAAAAGTTTTATATGGCCTATGGTTTTAATACAGTCGGTGATTATAGTTTTCATGTTGGAGAATGGAAGGATCATGAATTCATCATGCGACGAAAGGCTCATTTGATGTAATGTTTCCCGTAACATTCCCTCGATTGGAAGGTGGATCATCTATATCTATATACAGTAAAACTTCTCTAATGTAAATACCAACGAAACCAACGAAAAGCGTTCACATTACTAAGATGATCATCTTGAAGGGGGACTATCCAAATAAGAAGAAACATCGACGTTTTCAAGTAAATTCTTTTTCTTTTGATAATACAGTGATGTTTTAATGTGTGGGTGTGGATGCGAGTGAAGGACGAGCCAATGGTCTATGCCCAATTTCATGCTTTTATCATATAAACATATTTATAATCCAGCGAATCTTTATGATATCTCGCAGAATACGTCAGACATTTTTAGCAGAAACTGATTATATAAGTTATCAATATCCAGGGTGAGGGTGTGAATGTGAGTGTGAGGTGTGGGTGTAGATGAATGTGTAAGGAGTGTGAGCGTTGGTCGACGTAGGTGAAGAGATAAGAAACACCCACACCTGTTTGTTTTTGTTACTTTTATAAATATCACCTAAAATAAAGTTTATTGAGTTCACAGTTAATAAGATAAATAAAGTATACTATTTATGATATCATACATAAATTCATGGTGATAATTATTAAAAAATTCCATTAAATTAAAATTTATTTTCACAACTCGACGAATTTCATTGGCAATAGAAAATAAAACAAGTTTAGTATTCGTGTTTTGATCTTCGTTGAAACAACTGCATTTATCCGCAAATTTTGGTAGTTGTCGATTGCAAATTGAACAATATATATTTGTTTTGAGTGTAAATTTAATTCCAACACGCTCCCATAGTTTATGACTTGATTTTGGTAAAGTGATGTTTGAATGAATGTTATTTAATAAAGATAGTAATCTATCCGTGTTCGATTTATCAAGATTGTCAGTATGGATAAAATTAATGATTTCGACTAGTTGTTTATCATCATCAATATCACTTGCGTTTTCTGTGTATGAAGCTTCAGATAATGGAGATTCGAGTAAATAATAATTATTATCAAGTTCAGCATCGGATTCTAAATCACCTGTAAAATACCATTATCTATACTCCATAATTATAAAACTAAAAAAAAGCATATTAGAAAATGAATATATCAGATTTTCAACAAGATCCGATGGTGACTCTAATGCTTGTCCATCATCAACAGCTTGTTCATTGTCTTCATGTGAATCTTTATACCTTGGCACTAGATAAATTAAAGGAAAACATTTTACACAATCATCGAAAGATATACACTACATAGATCAGTGTCCACGATAGTATTAATAGCCGATGTGTTTCGTTTCGATAAATTTGTACATTTCTCGCGGAATGATCGTCCTGAGTGATGCTCAGAAAAAAAACAACGTTTGTTTCTTTTTCGTATGATTTCACCATGTTTTTCTTTATTTTACTCAAACAGTGTACCGCATGATTTCTTATCAGTTCAGGGTAATGATTCCTGAAGCAGTATTTCCGACGAAAGCCCTCAGGAAACTCATCGTTTCCGGCAGGAACCCTGGCGGAAAATGCAAGAAATTCGAATGTGGAATCAGCTTCGGACAGAACCGACCGTTTCCGTGCTGGATTGTTCGATCTCGGTACTGCACGTTTAATCATTGCACAATGAGTCTTTGTGTATCATAAACTGAAAGAAAATATGTACATATAAAAGATCATTGGTTTTGTGGTTCAGTATAGTTTATTTTTCGCAACTTTTGATTTAGAACATGTATCGTCAAAAAGAGGTTTGAAAGATTTTTTATCACGTTTTTATATAATATACTTAATCTCAATATGATAAAAATTAATGCTCGTTTAACAAAAATGCATGATACTTAAAAAAATAATATAGATTTCTTTTTGTACGTTATTCAGCATGTTTCTTTATTTTAGTCAACCAATGTACCACATGATTTATTATCAGCTCAGGCTGATGACTCCTGAAGCAGTATTCCTGCGTATTTTCGGTAAGAAATTGACCCTGGAATCGGTTTCCGGTAAAACCAAACGGATCCGGTGACCGAATTCGTTGAATGGGAATACTGCTTTCATGAAATCTCCGGAGTACCACGGTATCGACCGTTTCCGTGGTGGATTGTTTGACCTGGGTAATAAAAACTAAATAACGTTTATTTCTTTTTCGTATGATTTCACCATGTGTTCTATTTTAGGCCGCTAACCTTCCAAATGATCTACACAGTGCTCAACAAGAAATTGCTCGGCTTCGACAAGAAACTTTCAATTAAATATTTCTCTTGAAGCTGCATATATACGAGGAGAGGAAATGAGAGCCGAATTTCGTCAAGTAGGTTAAAACTTTTTAAAAACTATTTATTTTTATTCTTTTTACTTTAAGGGTTTAATAGATCTAGAAAGACGATTTGTGAGAGAAGAAAATCAAAGAAATATAGTAGCAGTATGTATACAAATATTTAATTTTCTTTATTAAATAGTTATTTTCTTTTCATCGCTTTTAGATTCTATCACTTATAACAACTTTCTCATTGGCTTTCAATTTTCTTTTTCTTCTGGGCAGTCGAAGATAATCATCATGTTATACATAAATCTAGTTGTGCTGAAGTATGCGTCAGCTCAGGACGATGATTCCTGAAGCAGTATTCCCAGAACTTGCGGTGAAAACCCTTAGGAAACTCACCGTTTCTGGCAGGAACCTTGCCGGAAAATGCCTGGAATTTCCTCCTGACATCAGTTCCGGACGGAACCGAGCGGATTTGGTCACCGGATCCGATCACCAGAATACTGCTTCCATTTTCCTATGAATTTTCCGTGTTTTTCTACGGAATGCCCAGGAAAATCACGGAATCCGGTCGTTTTCTACCGTACGTCTTTGACATGGCAGTGATCTTTTTGCTCAATTCTACTATAATAGTAAATTGGAAAGATACATGTATATATATATATTAGTGTTGTTATTGTTATCAAAAATGTAATTGATTTAGTTTTTTGTTATTGAGAGATAGACGAAATGATATTGCTAATGTCAATATGATCATTCGATAGGCGTGTTTTTCTTTATTTGTAAAATAAAAAAATTGCTTGTATTAATATCAACAATATGTTCATTGATAAGAGAATTTAAACAGTGAAGACTTTTACTAAATGAGATAAACTTAATTCAAATGTAATAACACTTTTGCAGTTTTACTTTCATCAGCAGAACATTGATAAAGAATTTCAAATAAATTTTCTGAATGGATGATATAATTTAGGTTGGTTATGGGTTGTTCATTATATTTAATGTTATATCTACAAAGAATGAATTTTTTCGATATTTTTAAATTTAATTAAATAGTTATTAACTAATGGAATACTATAGAAATCAGTATATTAATAAAAATATGATTCATTTTTGTTCTGGTGTAGAGAATGATGCAAGTAAATACTTTGTAGATAACTTCATTAGTTAAAGTTGTTTTTTCTTTTTTTTTTATAAAGGATAAGTAGACAAAGTTTATTGTTATTACACTGATTTTTTTGTTTTGATTATGAATGATACGAATAATTAAAAGATGTGAAATTCATGTATGTCTTCTTGAACTGGATTGAATTTATAAATTTTCAAAAAGAAACATAAGTATTAGAATATTTTTAACATCAATTTCTCTATTTCCATATTATTGTTCACATTGAAAAGTCAATAGTATCCGGTATATATACCGATCATTATCAAACTTCTTTTATCTTAAGATTTAAATTAACACTTCAATTAGTTTTGTTGCTCTTTGTATTATTCCATAAGAAAATATATGATGTGTAAAAATTTAATCAGTATTATAGTAGTTGTGCTTCTTCACATGAATGATTATGAAAACATAACGTTTAACATTTAAATCGTATGTCAAGTTTTTATTCGTTCCAGATAATATGTACATAAACGGAGTAGAGAATCGATCATTTTTACATGCTTACTTAGTAATTTCGTTTAAATGTTACTTAAACTTTCTTCACGCTTATTTATCTATTTCATTGAAATATCATATCTACATAAATCAAGCAAATATTCATTTTTTTTATCGTTGTTGTCTTTCCATAGAGTACGAACAGAATGAAAATAAAGCAAATAATGACTTTTAGTATGTTTTTCGAATGAATCAGTGAGCAACACCAACTTGACCGTATGTGTATATACGTCTATAATTGTAGACTCGTTGAATGTTAATCTTATGCTTTCGGACAACGAACGAAATGATTAGAAAATGTACACATCTAGCCAACGATGAATAAGACAGAAAGAAAGAAAAGCTCAATATGTTTAATAACAGGCTCTAAATGACCGATTGTTGTTTGGCTCCGATCATTACTATAAGCGATTAAAGACAAACAAAAAAACAGAAAGAGAGTAAATGCCTAGTCGTCGTCTTTTCTAGTTTTTGCCTTGATGAATCATAATCAAAACATACGTAACGTATGGTATGCATACTTTACGGTACCATCCCTGGCGAACGTGATAGACAAGTAGAGAAGAAAACAGAATGTGAGAAAAAAAATAAGAGGAAGAGATTTTTTCTTCTTTCTCGATAAACAAACGGACGAAGAGAAAAATAATTTTCCTCTTACTCTTTCTCTATACTACGGAGTGAGTATTGTCTTGTTTTTGCCTTCATATTGAAAGACACACAATGACCTATAGTATACTATATTCTAGTTATTATATATAGGTAATTAAACACGATCGATCATACCATGTTAATAAATGCTTCTACTTTCTCTTAGAATCTTTTGTTCTTTTTCTTTTAATTTCAAAAAGTACCACTAAAAAAATCAAAGCAAATGCATTTCATTCTATTCTATTCTATTCTATTCTCTTTTGAGTTCACCGATTGTTTGACCCTAACAATCTATATTTCACACTTATTAGCAAAGAAGATACACACATATATATAAACATGTTTCTTTTGAAAAAGAAACATTAGATAGTTGTTGTTATCTCTTTTTTTCCCCTAACCGTTACACATTTCATTTCTTTAGTTATGTACAAAGAAATAATTTTAATTCTTATTTTAAAAATAACAATAATCAATTGTTATGCATTTCAATCATCAATTGATAATTTACTTTATATAAAAAATACTTCAACATTATTTGCAATATCTTCGTCACATTTATATCAATTACATTGGTCAACAACAAATCAAACTTTGTTATTATTACATCGTCGTGTACAACTTCATTCAACAATTGATAATACAGAATATGGTGTTAGTGTTTTTGTTTACGATCAAGTTAAACAATTATTAATTATATGTGCACGTTCAATTATTGGTCGTTGTATATTATATGATGCAAATGATATAAGTCGAACATATTTACTTGAATCATCCATTGAAACAAATTATCTTGGTTGTTTATCTGGTTGTTATACATTTATGTCATCAAATATAATTCGTTCAGCATTAAATGGAAATCGTCTTGAACATAATGGAAATATAATTAATTCTAAAATTGAATTAAGACAAGATTTACTTAATTATAATATAAAATATGAATTAGAATCAAGTGATAATACATTAATAACATCATTAACATTTTTACCTGAACGTTTAATAAATAAATATAATTATGAATATATTTATGGTTTTGATTATCAACAATATACATATTATATATTAAAATCTTCACGTATTGCACGTTTATGTCAATCATCAATAGCTATGCGTGTTACATATGATGAAATACCATTATTAAATTGTAATAATGATAAAAATTCATCGATTATAACAGGAGCTTATTATTCATTAGATAAAATGAATCATTTATATATTTTATTTGATAATATTGTTTGTATTTATACAATGAATGAAATTATACGTGCATTTAAAGAATCGAAAGCTCAATGTCAATCAGGAAATGGTTATCGTCTTTCTCATATTGTTGATAGTGTTGATTTAAGACCAACATGTGAAAAAACATTAGATCAAAATTTAACTGAAATAAATGAATGTACATGGCAAGCATATCGAACAAATACTTATATGGATGGAATTATTGGTGCTAATGGAGAAAAGATTTATGAAACTATGACAAAGAATGTTAAGATTCGATTTATTTTTGCTCAAGATGATATTGTTATTCTTAGTACAAATGAAAGACGAATTTTAAAAGTATGATATCAATTTTGTTACATTTTGAATACTACGACATTTGCTTTTCAAAATCATTGTTTTTTCTCCCTTTTAATGAAATAGATATATCCAGTAAGATTTAAGATAATGACAAAAGATTAGATAAGTTTAATTGAAATCAATTACTTTGATCGGTCTGTATCCGTCACAAATAAACTGTGAACTGTTTATACACATATTGGATTGATTCTTTTGTTTTAAATGAGAAAAATCTCTTTCTAACACCTTTTCTATGTATGTATATATCAATATAGATATCTAATCATATAATATTTAGTTTATTCGGTCTAATCAAACAACACTTTATCTCTTACATGAAGCAATCTATCAAAGCGAACCATTCAATAGTCAATATGTTATTGATTATGAACATGAATCATTGATTTTTGCTGTTGCTTCTGAAGTATTTATTTTATATAAATATTTTTCTTATGTATATATATATATAATTGATTTAATTAGCTTCATCGTTATGCATATAATTCTTGTTCAATTTATGATACATGTCGATCATGTATCGGTAGTCGACGTTATGATAGTAAATCATGTATATGGTTCGATGGTAAATGTTCATTAACATCGAATCCATTGATACTAAATCGTGGATGTCCACCATCAATTGATCAAGTTTGTTTATTCATTCATTTTATTTTCTCTTAATCAATATTTTTTCATTTTTTTCCTTATAGGTAAAACCAACAAATATAAGTGTTAATACAGAACGAATTTCATTGAAAATAACAGGTATATTTGAAAATGTTCAAGCACATTTAGCTAAGGTTACAATTAAATATCCTTTATCAAATCAAAATGAATCTGTATGTACTATTAAAACCATTAAAAATGACAGGTTATTCATTAAACAAAAAAAATTACTTCATAAAATATATCATTTTTTTTACTTTAGTTTAATATGTGATTTAATTGTTCCGAAACAAACTAGTCAAGGAATGGTTTCAATTTATGTCAAATCTGAACATTCATTAGCTATTGGTGATACGGATATATCTGGCACAGTTGAATTAACAGAAAAATTGAATATTTATGTAAGAATATGAATTTAGTTGATATTCAAAACATGATCTTGTGATTCATTTTAGATACCAAAACCAATTTTGGTACCTAATTTTGGTCCAGCTGCTGGCGGAACCAAAATTCGAATACAAAATTTAGCTTTTGACAATAGTTTAGATTTATTTTCAATAATGAAGATCTTTTTGGGAAGAAAACAATGCCATATAACTGAGTATGATTATTATATAATGATGAATAAGTATTACTAATTCATCTAGGTCATAATATAAACTCTATGTTTTCGAGATAAAGAAAATATGTGAGAATGATGATAGACCTAAGGAATCACAGGAATGTCATGAATCATATGACCCTCATAATAGACTTATCTGTTATGAAACTATATGAGTTCCTCGAGCGAGAAAAATTTCTTTTTAAACAAAAATACATCTTTTTTCTATGTTTAGAATAACGACTGATGCAATTGAATGTATCAATGAAGCTTGTACTAATAATCTTGAAAAATTAGAATTACGTATTCAAGTTCATGATTATGTATGGCAATTACAAAAAACATATTTTCATTGTCGAAGCGATCCCATGGTATTTGATTGGTCTCCAAAAAAATCAATTCTAAGGTAAAATATATGATTTTAATAACAAAACAAAAGAATATCAAATTATTTTTAGTGGTGGTATTAAATTAACTATTACTGGTGAATATTTAGATGTCGTACAAATTCCAATGATGAAGTTTGTCTATAATCTTTCAGATTTTGAATTTATTTCAGTGAGTTCAAAATAGAATAAAATCGATATATGAATTTTCTATTGTTTTTTTAGTTATGTGAATCAATTTCAAATTCACAAATGATTTGTTTATCACCTACAATTGATAAAAATCTTGGTTTAAGTCCACCTATTGATCTTGATGTCACATTTTATATGGATAATATTAAAATAATACCAGACAATAATGTTTTAACAATTGTTAATGATCCTATTTATTATCCATTTGAAAATTATATTCAAGAAATAAATTCAACACATATTATTAAGTTTCAAGTAAAAAAGAAAAGAAATTTTTTTATTAATTATATGTATATTTCGTTTATAAAGGGTTCTAATCTTGCTGCAACACATTCAATGGATCTTATTAATATACGAATCGATAATATTAACAATGCTTGTATCCCATTTAACTTCACGAATACATATCTTATGTGTAGATTATCAAAACTAGCTTTGAAAAATATTCAAGATTCTGAAGCAAATATTGATGTAAGAAATTTAATCTAGACACCAGTAAAAATTATGAATAATTTTAGATTCAAATTGGAACAAATTTAACATTTTTAATTGGTAAAATTCTATTTCAAAATAATACGTCTTCATCAACAACATTATTGACTGTTCCATATTTAACAAGACAAATTGGTTCTTGGACAATTATTATATTAACAATCTTAACATCGATAACAATTTTAACTCTACTTTTTCTCTTAGTTATATTTATTCGTCGTCGTTTTTTTCAATCATCAGAAAAATATCATAAACAAAATAAACCACCACAATATTATCAAGATGTTTGGTGTGAATTAGGAAAAAAATGGCAAATTAATTCGAAATATTTAACTGTTGCAGAAAAAATTGGTCAAGGATGTTTTGGTGATGTATATCGAGGTGAATTAAAACAGAATGATAATAAATCAATTGATGTTGCTATAAAAGTTTTACGTGATCAAAATGTTGCATCAATGCATGAATTTTTATTTGAAGCAAATCGTATGAAAGATTTTTCACATTCAAATGTTCTCTCATTAATTGGTGTTGTATGGGATCCAATACGTAAAGCTATGGTATTATTACCATATATGAAAAATGGTGATTTAAGAAGTTATATATCCAATGAAAAAAATCGACCCACTGTAAGACAATTAATAACATGGGGAATTCAAGTTGCTGATGGAATGGAATATTTATCTTCATTAAAATTTATTCATCGAGATTTAGCAACACGAAATTGTATGTTAGATGAAAATCTAATATGTCGAATATCAGATTTTGGTCTTAGTCGAGATATTATCGATCGAGATTATTATCTTGTACCAAGAACAACAACAAAAGAAAAAGATGGACAAGCTATTCAAATACCACCAAGACGTTTACCTATTCGATGGCTTAGTCCAGAATCAATTGAATCATCGAAATATACCGTTCAATCTGATGTGGTTAGTTTCATTTAATAAAAAAAAAATATTTATCTTTTTTTGTTATGTATTTAGTGGTCTTATGGTATTCTTCTCTGGGAATTATTAAGTCGTGGTAAAACACCCTATCCAGGTATTGATAATGCTGATATATTTACTTATATTAAAAATGGTTATCGTCTTCCTCAACCTACATATTGTCCACCATTACTCTATAAATCAGCAATGCTTGTTTGTTGGAATGCTGATTCAAATCAACGTCCATCATTTACACAACTTGCTCAAGATATTCGTCAAATACTTCTACAATTGGAAATTGAACAACAAAAACAATACATACGTCCTCAACAATCATCATCAGCTGATGATGATACAATTATTGTTGAAAGATATCCAGGTGATCGAAAAATAAAACGATTATCAACAACATCAATGTCATCATCTGGTAGTATTGGTGGACAATATATAACTACACCTCATCGTCAATCAGAAAATGTACAATTATTATTTGATCGTGGTGGAGATGAAGAAGATGCATATGCTGTAGCAGTTAATTCAAGTCCTGATATTTTTAGTACAACAAGATTATTACCTAAATATACAGAAACAAGCATTACTGAAGATGTTTAACTTCATATATGTATATATTTTTCTGTGTATTTGTGATATTAATTAGTGTATACTTGATTTCTTTTTGTGTTTTATTGTAAAAATAAGAATTAAAATGCGGCTATATAAACTTTTTTAAGTAAAACAAACAAAATAATTCATCCATTAACGAGTAAAAATCTTTGAAAATAAAAGATAAATGTATCAATAGTCTTCTATTTGTTCGACGTAGAGATGAACGATTGTATTACAAAATTAAATCAACACATTATATAATCATCTCTCCCATTCTTTGTCTGTAATTGTCACAAAAAAGAAAAGAATAACCGATTGTTCAATAAGATTATTATATAAGGTCGATAAACTTATATTTAAAAGTCTTTTTTGTTTATCATTCTTTTATTCTTTTGCAATACTAATAAATATTTTACTTTCATTTTTCCTAAGCAAAAAAAAATTAATTATACATACATTTTTGATCTATTCTATATTATTTAAAATATTTCAAAAAAAAAAAAGAAAATAAATCATGGTAAAATAATTGTTCATTTAACATTCAATTTTTCGTTGTGATTCTAATAATTTCTCTCTTTCTTCAATCATTGTTACTGCCTATATATATATAATACGTATATAACTTCAAGTTTTATAATTCAAACAACTTACCCAACTATAAAAAGCTGCTAAACCAATAGAAATTTCGCTAACACGTATTAAATCATAATTTCGTAATATATCTTTTGCTTCATGAGCTTTATCAACAAGAATATTAAGTGGACTAAGTTCATAACATCGACGACGTACACTATCTTTTCCTAAACGACCTAATAAGTTTTGAATTTGTGTCCAATCCTTCAAATATAAAAATTAATAACAAGTTTCTTTTTCTTTTGGTAAGAAAAATTTACTTGAATCTCTTTATCTGTATGACCAAGAAGTAAAAATGTCGCACGCATAACAGTATAAACTTCATCCGGAGGTTTAGTATAACTATGTAATTCAGCTATTGTTGATTGATTAAGACGAAGTACTCGAATTCTATATTATTTTAATTAAAAAGTTCTTTTTTCGTAACTTTTTTTTATCTTACTTCATATGTTCAATTTTCATTAAACGATTCAATAATTCCAGAGCACGTTCACATTCATATTTTAATCGATGTAGATAATTATGATCTTTTACTTGTTGAATAGCTTCTTCAAGTGCTGGAATAGTTCGTTCTTCAATAGCTGCTAATAAATCTATATATACATAAAGATCATTCGATTTTGAATCTATGAGAATATTTGGAAAATAATATTACCTCGACGAACTTTATCGAAATCAACAATAAATGGTGATTCTTGTGGAAATAAGAATATATCTTGAGAAAGTGATGGAGTAAGAATTTTTTCTGATGGTGGTTGTGGAGTCATTATTGGAGTCGGTGGAGTTGGTATTCGAGGAAATGATTTTATTTCGTTTCCATCAGCAATTGTTGTTGCTTTTTCATCAGCACAAACTGGTATAGGTGATTCAGATTTTGTTTCATGTACTTCATAAGATTTATATGGATTTAGATTATTTGGATAGGGTCCAATTCTATCTTTAATAACATCTTCGACTAATAGAAATACAAATATATTTTCTTAGATAAAATTTAAATGAAAACTTACGTAAAAAATAGATTAATATCATAAGAGCAAAAAGAGAAATAAGAATAAGAAAAATAGCTAAAATGGAACCAAGAGTACCTTTAAGAAAATAAGAATGAATAAGAAAATAAATGTAATCTATTATATTTTTACTTCGTATTTGTGTTATACAACATATAAAAATAGCAATTAAAAACGCTAATTCTATAATTATAATAATCATTACTGATATAAGATGAAATTTACGAAGTATTTTTTCTAAAAAGAAACAAACGATTGAAATTCTTTAAATATTTTATTCGATTAGAATTATTTACCTTTTCGACTAACATAAATAAAAGCAGCTATTGCTGTTGTAACTATAAGAAAAGCTACTGAAGCTAAAAAAATAGTCAACATCGATAAACGTCGATTATAATTAGCAACTGTTGTTGCTTTTGTAACCATATCGTCAATCATTAGTTTGAATAAAGAATTGTAATACTTCCGAAACAAAAGACAATTTATTTGATATGCAATTGTTCAATGGTAGAGATAGTCGTTTTTGTTGACTTGTTGATAGGCAGTAAGTTAACCAACGGATAAGATTTTTCTTCTTCAATGATTACGTCGACATATTTAAAAGAAAAAAAGAATAATCACAAGTTTTTTTTCCTTCTTAAAATTGGAAGGATGAAATATGAAGAATAAAGAGAGAACGGCATCGTAGACTATTTGCAATTAGAATGTGAGAGAGACCTATCGGCAGTGCACATCAATCGATGGGTATATACGTTTAAAAAAACGAAGAAGAAGAAGAAGAATGATGATGGAATATGTCGGTTGTCTTAGTAACTTTATATATATATATGTATGTGTATGTTTAGACATATTTAGAACAACACTTGCACATTCAATAACATGTAATTATAGTTAAGTTATAAACATAAAATGCTTACATGTTATACTTCAAATCAATAATATATGATTATGTCATTTTTATTCGATATTAAAAAAAAATGGGAAAAAAATTTTTTTTTTATAATTTAATATGAAGAAATATTCAAATTTTAGAATTTATATTAGTTGATTACACATAATTTGATTTATATTAAAGTAATTTTTTTCTTCTTTGAAGAATATATATTGATCAATCAAACCATAGAATTGATCGATTGTTGTTTCATATTCTATTCTAATTGAATAAAATAATGTTCATATGCAACTTCTCAAATTAATGCTATTTATATCAAGTATAACCACTTGACTGTCAATGATTTATTGCCAATAAGATTGAATATATCTGAAAGAACGAAAGAAGAAAAAAAAATTTATTTCAAATTCGTAACCATTTAATTTTTACAAATAAAATCTTATTATATCACGGGAAAAAAAAGAAAAAGTGACATTTATTTTTCTAATAAATACTTTACAAAATTTAAATCCTATTATATCCTTGCTTTTGATATAAGAAGGTCATAAAAAAAGCTTAGGTCTATTAATTTCGTTGACATATGAGGAACTCTTTTAACAAATTCTTTACATTTAATACTATTCGTTCTCTTTCCTCCATTAATAACGCTATCTGAATCATAAAAGAAATAATAAAGGTTGTTCAGTTAATTCTCTTTTATTATTCTTTTTTATCTTACCTATGACATCCTCCTAGAATAATTTGCCGCTAGGGCTAACACTGTAATTCTTGAGTATACTTATTACTCATACATCTATTAGTTTTATACAATATTATTCTTCCAATGCAACGTGTATGTTTTTGTAAAACAGTATCTCTATTTAATCACATATTACAACCGAGTCAAGCATTAGCTATATTTTATCAATCATTAATATTTTCATTAAAAAATTTAGAACTTATTAAATGGATTAGTTTTAATATTGATATTCCAATTGGTTTACAATTATTAATGATTGATATTAATGGTAATGTTACTATTGATAATGATTTACTTTATAAACATCTATCGAATATAAAACGTAAGAAATTTTTGTTTTTTTAGCTATTTTATAGTCTTTTATTTTGCAGGTGATGTCGAACAACGAACGGATACATCAGTGGTAAATAAATATTTTCTTCCTTATTCAATTTTCTTTGAGACAAATTTAATTATGTAGATATTAAAATGGATTAGTCGTATAGTTCTTCGTTTAACAACTGATCATTCATTATCTTCCAAATTCGAACGTTCATATGAATTTGAAAATTTCTATAATTTTCTCAAACAATTTCATAGTATGTATATTTATTTATTAATATTTAGTTTTTGAAGAATTTTTTCTAGCTAACTCTACTGATGATCACTCAACTTTATTAAATAATGATAAAAGAATTATTAATGATGATCTAGATGAAGAAGATATTAGTCGACGTGCTATCCATTGTGCATTAATAGTATTTACTTTCAATAAAAACAAAAAAAAGCAATTTCATGGTTTTCTCTTTTTAGAACTGTATCGATTATGCAATGACAAATTCATCGAATACTCTACATTCAAAACCGAATAATATAGAAATGCAAGATTTTGAAAGCAATTCTATTGCATTGTACAATCAACAAATACTTCAAATACTTTGTAGTGATACTTTAGAATTAGAAATTGAACTTGCCCGTGATTCTGTACGAATAATAATAATAATATATGTAATAATAAACTTAAGAATTTCGTTTTTAGCATCAATCATCATTTGAAATCTTACCTCAATCATCAATACATGATCATACACTAACGAGTTACTATTCAACTTGGGTACGACTGATTAAAAAAAACAAGATTTTGTATTATTATAAATTTTTCTTTTAGGCAGCATTATGGAGAGATGTAACAGTTGAATATTTACAATTTAATAGTAATAAATGTTTAAAAAAAGTCATGATAGATACTTTTAAACATGATAATCATTCATGGTCTATAAGAGAAAACGATCGAATACTTAATGAAATAACGGAACAACAACGAAATTTAAAAAAACCAATTGTAAAAAAATTAATCTTATTTTTCATCAGTTATTTCCTTTTTGTTTATTTAGATAAAGTCATATAAAATTAATGAGAATAATTTTTGTTTACATGATCGTTTAATGTTTGAAATAAAACAAAGTAAACAATTAAAACCAAGTAAAAAATCTTTAACGATTGATTCGAATCGAAAACGAATACATCCTATTCAAGTATTGATATGCATATATATTTTTCTTAAATATTTTATTGTTATTTTTTTTATTTAGAAATTAATAGAAAGTGATTCAAGTTCAGATGATGATGCACATCGAGATGAATATGGACGGAAACGAGTTATTGTCGTCGATTGTCTACTTGAATCATCACCTGAAGATAATACGACAAGTAATTAATTAAATTTTTTTTAATTAATTCATTTAACTTTTATTCATAGATAAATTAACTGTAAAAAAACTTCTAAGTGAACATAATTTATCGATCAATACTTTAACAAATAAAAAAACATCAAGTGAGAAAATAAATCATTCAACCATAGAAAATCTTGAAATTGAATATATATCTATGGAACAGCTTATCCGGGTTTGTTCATTTCTTTTTCTGTTTTTCTTTTGTAGCTTTCATCGTTGTATGTAGTGTGTTCATCGGATATATTATTACCTAGTAGGTTTTATCTAGCTAATTACTTTGCTCATACACTTTTTTTTTAGTTGCATGTATGCGCGTATCTCCATACATCCGTTATAAAAATAGGAGAGAGAGAGAGGAAAAAAGGAAAAAAAGAGAGCGTCTATAATGAATGCTTCTTAGAATTTGTTTCCGAATTATTACCGACTGTCAAGGAGAAAAAAGATCCGGCCTACGCATCACAATGATCCAACACCCGAGAAAAAAAGAAAGAAACGAAGAAAGCAAACATAAGGAATAGAAGAGATGTCAGCGTACTAGATCATTCGTCTATACAGAAAAGGAAACACAAGCGAGCAGTCTAGTATTTTATGTGCTAACACTCGACATAACACAGAACGTTCGTAATAAATTGATTTTTCTTTTGCATTCGAGCATGCAGCTACAAGAGCATATTTTACAGGTATTATCAAATGCATGTTTTTTAATATATATAAATATTAATTATTTTTTATAAAAATATTTCTGTTCTTCTTCTTCTAGCTTATGAAAGATAGTTCAGATACATTATCATTAACTTATGATGAATTTTGTCATATAAGAAATGTTATAACACGATCAGAATTGGAAACTTTATTATTTGATGAAAAACTTTATATTGAAGTTGCTCAGGGCAAAGTAATAAAAAAAGAACCAAAAATAAACACATCTCATGTTTCGTATTTATTATTTTTAGTTATGTTTTACATGTCGAAAAGTTTATTTTAATATATTAACATTTACATTTGGTATACAATGTAGTGTATGTAAACAAAAAATTTGTCGAAATTGTGTTAAACAAGTATGAAATCATCTAATCTATTTCTTTTCTTTTCTTTTTCTAAATAAAATCATTTTAATTAGATTACTTTACCAAAAGAAAGATTAAATGATTTACCAATTCAAGCTATAACTCCATTAACATTATCGAAATCTTTATCGAAGTCAGACAGATTGCATTCACTTGATACACAGTAAGTATTTGGAAAAATATTTATCGATTGATTGTATCGATAAATAGGAGTATTATGTATATAAAGAAATAGTTTGTTTGTAGATTATTAAAAATTATAGGATTTTTCTCGGAGAAAAAAATGTATTGTTTTCCTCGAGTATAGAAGATTTTATTTATTTATGAAGCGAATAGATACAATGATTTTAATATTCTATATTTACTAGACATATTTATGAGTTTTTGTATTTTGTTTTTTTGATTAAACTTTGCATATATCCATATTAGTTGTTAGTTCAATATTCAAAAGAGTCTGTAAAATAGGAAGTAATGTTTTATACATAAATTATAAAAAGAACGGAAAAAACAGAGCTATTCACGATAAAAACAAAATTTTCTACTTGTTATTTCTATAGCCATATGACTATTGGGTTACATGAGTAAAACGATAGATAATAAGATAATTATCTTACCTATCTTTCCGGAAATATAATCTTCAATTAAAATATAAACGCAAAATATCTAAATTGTTCCGGATCCGGACAAATAAATTATGAGATTTTTTCTTTTGACATTCTTTTCTATTTTAATTGATCATATGAATATCTTTTTTTTTTATCTTAGGTCACCTCAGACACCGACTATGAATGATATAATAAGTGATTTAAAGTATGATGATACTGGTTCACGTCGTTGTTCTACACCAGGTGGAATGAGTAGTAATCAAATCGGTTCTAGTCCATGGCGTACAGAACCTATTGATATTTGTACAGACTGTTTTTTTCTTTTACAACAAATACGAAAGAAATCTCGTCAACATCATGTATCACCTGCAGTTACATCAAATTTAGTTTCATCAACATCATCATCATCGTCATTTAATCGTATGCAACATTCAACATCTAATTATAATCTATCATCATCATCATCTGCATCCTCAATAGCTGCTTTATTAGCAGCACAACACCAGCAACGTTCATTAATGGTTAAAACAATTTCAGTTCATTCAAATTTAAAACAAGCAAAATCATCACAAGAATTATCAGCAAATAATGATTCATTACAAACACTAACTACAACGAATGATAAGATTGAAAAAGTTAGTTTATCACGACGTAATCTTTTTCTTCAACTTCAACCAGCATATGATGTCAAATTGAATAATAATAATATAAAAACAGGATAATTGATATATATCTATTTTTTCCTTTATTTTGTCATATTTTTTTTCTTCTTCCTCTTCTCGTTAATCTATCTGATTTGTTGTTTGTATGTGATCAAAGTATTTATATTTTTCTTTGGCATTTAAATGACTTCCTGAATACCTAATATATTATCTAGTCTTTGTAATATTTAGAAATATTTTATTATTTATATGCAATTAAATAATTTTGTCTTTTATGTATGAAATATATTTTTTTTTCAATATGTAAATAAATATTCATGTGAATATAAAATTTAATATAAAGAAGCAACATTAATATTTTACGTCTAAGTTAATTTTAATTTTTTCATAGATTATTATTATTTTTTTCTTCAATTCAATTGATTATTGATCAATTGAAAAATCAAAATTGACATCTAAATAAAGGTACGTATTATATTATAAAACAAGTCATTGTTAATAATTAACAATGATATGAATTCTATTGAGATTGAAAGAAAAATTTCTCTTTATTTAATATTAGATTTATTTACATTCAATTGATGAATATTTTTTTTTCATTTCTATTTCAATTAATTTAAAATTTATCAAATATATATTGATTGATATCTTTGTGTAGTACTAATAATAAACTATTTGAATAATACTTGGCAATCTTCTTATATAAAATCTAATTCTTTTCTATTCATTGCTATTCTTCTTATACTTGAGAAATTTTTCAATTAAATCTTATATTTTTTTTTCATTAGAATTTTCAAAATGGTTTCATTGTCTGTTTATCGATATAGTGTAATAATTCTATGTCTAGTTGGTATTAGTCTTTCATTATATGCATTCTATGTTGAAACACGAAGTACAAATGATCATTCTTATCGAGCTGCTTGTGATATTGGTGAACGTATGAGTTGTTCACGTGTATTAACATCTCGATGGGGTCGAGGTTTTGGTTTATTTAATGCTGATTCACCATTGAATTTACCTGATTCATTGTTTGGATTTATTTATTATTGTTTATCTTTAATTCTTAATCGATCATATACATCAAAAACAGTTGCTCGTCTACGTGTTTTTCTTTCAATAATAACCAATCTTGGTACTGTCTATCTTGGTTATATACTTTATTTTGTTTTACATGATATATGTGTTGTTTGTTGTGGAATGTATACTGTTAATTTTTTATTATTTATTTGCAATTTAAAATTATTAACAATGGCAAGCACAAATAAACGTAAGCAGAAGAAACAGTAGATATGTATACACGCTCAGACTCAACAAAAAAAAAAAGAAGAAAGAAACAGAAGAAAAAATATCTAACAATTTGTTTTTGCTCTCGTTCGTGTTCGTACTTCTTCCTAAGAAAAAAATCATCATCGTTTTGTGTTCTTATTTTCTTTTTTTTTTTTCTTTTTTTTTCTTCTTTCGTTCTCGTTAACTGTTTTCCATCCTGCCTATTCTCATTGCATCTACCAACACAGTCAACCCAGCTGCTAATCATGTCTCTTTCTCTTTCTCTTATTTTTCTACATTTTTATTCTTATAAAACGAATACAAAACAAAGAAGTTATGCATATTCTATTCATTTTAGATTATCATTTTAGATATATCCAAAGAAAAACTTATCATATCATCGTCAACAACAACAACAACAAACGAAGAAAATAACAACATTCCCTTGTGAGCTAGAGCACGAACACGTATACACATACACCTTATCTATATATTTAGCAATGCGATGCTATAGTGTTGTGAGTACTGATGGCAACAGCTGTGTAAAAATGATAGAGCTAGAAAAAAATGAAAGAAATAACTTTTGGTTTATTAGTCGTATCAATTGACGATCGTTATGTGTAGCACTTTTTTCTTTTCTTTTCTTTTTTCGTTGGATTTTTTCTAAATCGAATTTGATGCATGATTGATTACTAGTCTATTACCAGTGAACTAATCAGAGACAGAATCAAAAAAGAAACATGCCAGATGAAACAATATAATTTCACTTTGAGAAAATGTAACTACGGCTGTTGTTCTTAGTCTTTCGAAAGAAAAGACGCGTCACTCTAGACTAAAGAATAGAATGCTGTCTATTCGCTTTTGCAGTTACTCGTTTGCTTTTAGGCTGTCGACACACACACACACACACACACATAGCCTCATACACATAAGGAAGGAAGAAGAGGCTTGTTGTTCTTATTCTCGCTTTCCTTCTCCTTCTTTTCTGTCCCGGTTTTTATTCTCTTTCTTTTTTGCTCGTTTCTTCTTGTAGATTTTTTTGCTACTCTCTTCTGACGACTACGTTGGTATTAGTGACGGCCTGTAGTGCAATTGACGACAACGACGAGACACGGTCCCTCACCTCTTCCTAAATGTTCTTGTGGTTGCACTAGTGGGTGATCCATTTCCAATTTCGTTGAAGTGCTCTCATCTTATACGGTAAGTAGAATATCGATATTAAAGAATTTTCATCATTGACCTACCACATGCGCATATAATAGATGGAAAAAAATTTCTGTATATTTTTTTTCTTCTTCTTTTGTTATTCCATAGTCTCTAATCGAATTAATCGACTCCAATGTTATATGACTAGTCTACGACAAAGAAAGAGAAAAAACAGATGTTGTCAGAAAAACGTTCTAACTAAACGAAGGGTTCTTCAAATTAGTTATATTGTATTCTAATCGTATTGTCATTTAAAAAAATTTGTCACAAAAAGAAAAAAATGTCTACTTGAAATGACATGCTTTTTTTCTTAGTTAATGAAAACCTTCGTTCACTTTAATCATTCTTTTGTTTTCTTTTCCTATTCCGTGCATGTGTATGCTTTTTATTAGAAAAGTGTGATGTCATATAGAAAAGGCAGCAGCTGTTTTATAGAATGAGTATCATCAAGAGAAAAGAAGATAGCTTTTCTAGCTCTCTTAACGCATTGAATCCAATGAAGAAATAAGAGGCATCTTTGGGTTCGTCTATATTAGGGGGCATTGATTGTCAACACATCGTCATTTAAAAAGAAATACAATAGTAAGAAAAGCTGGATTCTCAATTAACCATAAGATAGGCTGTCAGTTAGATTTGATAGAGAAAATAAGAACCCTAGAAAATAATTTCTTTTTTATATATATTACACTAAATAATAAGAAAAGAAAACTCATCAAATCAACATCCATCTAATTACTTTTCATCAAGTAAATAGCCTAGTTTAGACTTAAAGAGAAAGAAAACAAAGTGATAAATGTATCTAACACTATCAAAATCAAAGGAGAAACATTATATATGCATATATACCGATATATATATTGCACCTTTAGCTATCAAACCAGACTCTTTTATAATTGCACGCTACACACCCCATTTTATTTCGCTCACACATAAATACATTGCATTGCACGACCGGAAGTCGACGACTGTTCGTTCGTTATGTCGACCGATCAGCCTGTTCGTCTCTCCTTCTCTTTTTATTCATCCTCCCTCTCCTCCACCCTTTCCCTCTTCATCAAACCCGCTGTTCTCGTTTTTCTTGTATATTGCTAATCTCGCATGCAATAGCGGCGGCAATGGTCGACGCTGACTGGCTGGGCTGATGGTGATGAGTACATCGTGTGACGACGAACAAGAGAGTAGTCTCCTTCTCTCCTTTCGGTCGGTTTATTTCTTCTTATTCTGCATCTTCTTTTCATCGGTCTATTCGCGTTTTGTGTGCGCTTGATTTAGCTTGAGAACATAGAGAATAGAGACAAAGACAGAGAGAGAGAGAGAGAGAGGGAGAAGGAGAGAGAGGCAGACAGAGAGAGAGAGAGAGCGATGTGCCTTTGTCTATTATAGATTAAAAAGGGGGAAACTAACAACGACCTCCGCACGCACAAGCATATATATATATACATATACATATATATATATACACACTCACTAAGACATATCGAGTTGTGTACAAGTAGTAGTTTTTAATCAATCGAAAACGAGTGTAGACAAATTCATATATTCTTATCAAAAAAGCAAAATGTCCACTGTTGTTGCTCATCAGGTAATTCTCAATGAATATATATATATATATATATATTTAATAAAAACAAAAAGAATCTTGTCAATTTATTTACATTTATTTTTGTGTTCTGAATTTAGAATAGATGTATGTTTTGATAAGAAACTCTTTAACTAAATCATAATGTCATGTTAATAGAGACGTTTGTTTTTGTTTTTGATATCATTGAAATTCAACTTAATCTGATTAATTTTCTCATTATTTATTAACATCGTAAAAATATTATTTTTATATCGACATCGAATGACATCATTTAATAATATGTCGCTATCGATGTTGTCCTGTTCTGTTTTCATTCGATCTATATATAATACATACATATACACATATATATATACATGTATAGAAGTCGTGGTCATTTTTCTTTCTTTTTTTTCTAACCGTTCGTTATTTGTCGTCCTTCATAACCACTTCTTGTCGTTGGAGTGTAATGTTTATGTTTATTTGTCACTTCTATTCACATATATGTACTAAATGACATCATCTTCATCGTCTAATAATCGATATCATCGTCAGTTAGATACAAGTCTTGAGCGACAAGCTCGTTTAGCTGCTGCCAATGCTGTTGCTACCTGTTTTTCTTCTCCTATACGTCGACAACGTTCGGCATCATTAAATACTACTTTTGACCAGACTCGTTGGATACTTGTCATGCCGACGCTCGAGGTGATGTATCTTTCTTTCTTCTACTCTTATTGTGTGTATATAGACATATATAAATGAATACAGTTAACTCCGCCTACTAACCGTTTTTGTTCACATTGATGAACACAGCACGAATGACGAGATAATTAAATAGTATAGGACGTGTTTTATTTTGCTCTTGTTAATTCACAGTTGGATTATTGCAAGTTTGAACTAATTTAATACATCCCGTCGACAAGACTGTCTAATGAATAATTCAATGATGACGATCTATTGACGACCCTATATAGTCCTATTAATATCTCAATACGATGACATTGAACAATTCAATGATTGGTTAGATTTATTTAAAAGAAGAATTGATTTTCTTTTTTTTATAAACTAATTATTTATTTTTTTCATCTATATTGTTTATATATTTAATCGTTTTCCAATGACCTGATGTGCCCTCCAGTTGATCTTTTATAGGATATGAAACTAAAGATATAGAACCGGGAAAAAAGAAGAAGAAGAAATAGAAGCGATGTGATGAGTAGTATGTTCGTAGATAACAGTCAGTTGCTTGTGAGATGAACCGACTGATCATTAATCAAACTATATATATATATATATATGTTTGTGTATGTATATGGTCGAGTTTTTTTTCTCCTTCTCTTTCTCTCTATGGTATTTATTATCTCTTTCTCTCGACCTCTTCTACTGTTCATCTAAACATTTCATTTGAATTGTTTAAGGCCGAAGCGCGAGAGAGACAACACTGTGTATAATTGCGGTCAAGAAAAAAATATTTTTATTATTAATAGATTTAGTATATAAAAAAAAAAGAAAGATATGGTAATGATGACTGCTACAGCTGCTTCAACTTTAGGGGTGAGTCATTGCTAGTGTGATATGTGTTTTTTTTTCATATGTAATGACTTTTTATATGATGTATATATACATACATACATATATATAAAGAAAAGAAGAAGAAGAAAAAATAATGACGTGTAATGTGAAGAGAGAGAAAAAAAATCGAAGGAATGATGATTACTCTTCGTTTTGTTGTCGAAAAGCGTTTTTTTGGCCCTGACGTATATATATAGATTTTTGTATTGCAAACAAAAAGTGAAAGGAAAAAAGAGACATGGTCAAATATGAAGAGGAGGTAAGAACATGTGCAATAGGAATACATGTATATTTGTCGTAATATATACTGGGGAGTATACTTTTTATGGCGACAGGTGGATGATTCGTGACATTTTTTTTTATAATATACCAAAGTTTGATCGAATATAATTGTATTTTGTTCTGTTCTGTATATTTAGCAACCGGCGTCTTATAACACATCACAAACGCCTTCTTTACATCATTTAATCATTGATCCTCATTCAACCGGTCACGTCCAACAACAACAGCAACAGCAGCAGCAGCAACAACAAACTCAACAGCAACATTCAACAACAATAGCAAATATGGCATTAACAGCTGAACGTGAAGCTTATTTACGACTGGCAGCACATTCAATGGAACGTTCTGATCAACTTGCACCACATTTTAATATTCGTTCACCGAAAGCCTATGGTGGTTATGCTGTAAGTAATATAATAAAGATTGTTAACAAATTAAATAGTCTAATTAGAAAAATTATGAAAATGTTCGTTGTAATATAGATTGTTCCTTTCGGATTGCTTTTTTCTATTGTCGATTGCTCCATGTCTTCCAATGTTATTGTTCTGTTCGATGATGATGATGATGATGAGAATAAAAGAATGGTTCTATCATCATCACTATTTTTTTCTCATATATATATATATAAAGATATATGATGTCTGTCTACAATCGATTCTTCGATTCCGGAAGTGTCTTTCATTAATAACAGAAAATGAGTCTTTTTCTTTCTTGAAATTTTGTTTTCTTTGTTATTAATGGGTCAATCCATTGTAACCTTGAAAAATAACAATTCAATCGAGCAATTGCTCTGCAATTGTCTCATTACGGGAATTGAATGCTAAAAAGAAGAATTCACAGCGAGTGGTATGCCTGTATGTATATGTATTTATACATCTTTATCTAATGAGAATAGATGTAGCAGGTTTAGATAAACGTTGCACTTATAAAAAGACATTGTAACTATAATGATATGCTTGTATGTATTGTCTATAGAAAAAGAAAAAAAAAGAAGATCATATTTCAGATCCGTTCTATCGATAAGATGAATCGTTCATCGATTCATCATACATATATGTGCGTGCTGAAATCCTATTATATCGTAGCAACAGCAGCAGCAATAACCGATTAACCTGATATGTTGCTCATGACATACAAAGTGGCACCATTATTATTATTTTTTTGTATATATATATGTTTGTCAGAAGAAAGTTGTTGTTGACTCTTTCTCTTCTATCATATACCCATAGGAAATTGTATACATTAAATATTTAACGCCAATCAAGAACGATATGATAGAAGTAGAGAAGCTTTGAAGTTGTTCAGTGAATGGCTTCTAGCTAGAATTGATTAGACTTTTTTTCTCTCTTTTGTTTATAGCTGAGTAAGTTTCTATTCCCAATCAGACAGACAGATAGAGAGATAGAACAAGTAACAAGGGAAACAGAATATAGAAGAAGTAGAAAAAAAAAGAGGATGTAGTGTTAATATATACGATTTAGTTAGTCGTTCTCAAATGAAGAAAGAGGGTAAGAAATATAAATCATGCTGACTACTATAAATAATTATGATTAATTCAAAGGCCACCTCCTATTTCTTATTATTGTTCAACATTTCTCAATAGAGAAAATTTGATTCATATGTAAATATGAAGATTGATGGCGGGGGAATCGAGATTTATAAAAGCAGTTATATTTTACAGCCTACAAGAAAAAGAAGAATCTTAATCATATATATATATATATATATGAGTATATATTTCGTTAAGAAAAAAAAACTAGTCTTTGTTTTCTGTTTACAAACTGTTACGACAAGGTTCATGTCTGAGGTCGAGTTCAGGTTCATGGTTTGTCTTCTTTTTTTTCTTCTTGTCGATGAAAGATATATGTTGAGTGATAGATCGAATGATTTACATCGTTGACGAACGAATAGAAATGAGAAGAAAACAAGCTTGTTCTTTTTTTTTTTTTGCTTTAAACTATCAGTCAAGATAATATGTTATGAGGGGATGTGTCACGCATTTCTCTTTCTCTTGTATATATGTATTTGTCTGTGTAATAGAATCTATATTGTATATGCACATTTTTCTTCATGTGCAGTTGGCGGTTGTCGCCCATTGGGAAGGCAGATATTTTGGCCTCGCGTTATTTCTACAATATTCGCATTAGTATTCATTCATTCTTTTTCTTTCTCTATGTGTTCGCATCGTGCTACTCGTGCAAAGGAGCTTATTATATTGATGAGTTTTTACTATGATTACATTTGGCTGCTATGTTCTTTATGTCTCTCTTCTCCTCCTCTTAATACTCTTGCCCTATTGCTAGAAAAGAGAAGCCAGGACGACAAACGAACGAATATTGAAAGCTACTCAACTTGCTCTTGTCGTCTCCTACTCTATAATCAGCAAAAACTCCGCACCGGTAATGTTTTCTCCTCTGATATATATGGTCTATAGAGACATGTCTATATGTGCGCATTTCTCATTCCTTTTTTTTTTTATTTTGTATTTCTCGTCTTGTTCATCATAGTCTCTTTCCTCTTGTTTGATCAAAAGTATTAGTTTGCTATAGACCATACATATAAATATACACGATTGTTGTTACCGGTATTATTATTATTATTATTATTATCATTGTTCTCTTCGTTTGCGACATGGAAGGCGATGTTGTTTTGCTTGGATTAATGGACTGGAATGCCGCATCGTCGGCGACACAGCTCATACCATTACCCACAACAACTGAAGTGTGCTATGAATTGTTGACAGGCGGGGTTTGTATACATAATAAATAATATCAGTTGTATGACAGACAGAAAAAAGAAAATAATATAGTGTATATTGTTAGTTAGATGAACAGTTTAATGATGAAATTGTCTATACAGATAAATATATATTATTGTTTTTTTTTATTTCAGCCTCCACAATCTCATCCTGGTGTATATGATCAAACAAGACCAGCATATATGAATGGACATCATACAATAGTTAATAATGGTTTGTCACCATCATCATCATCATCTCATCAAATCCAACAACATCTCAGTGATACAAATTTGTATATAAAAAATTTACCACCTGATTATTCTGATCAAGATCTTGCTAAACTTGTGGAAGGGTAAACAATATAATAATTATAATAACCAAATATATATACGTATTTATACTCATAAATAGTTGTGGTAAAGTCAAATCAATGAAAGCAATAATTGATAAACAAACAAATAAATGTAAAGGTTTTGGTTTTATTGATTTTGAATCTAATGAAGATGCACAATTGGCGATAGCTCAATTACAAAAAAAAGGCTATACAGCTCAATTAGCTAAAGTATATTTATATTTAATTTAATAAAAATGTAATAAAAATAAATAAATAAACAAATAATTTAGTCTTCACAACAACAAGAACAAGATACAACAAATTTATATTTTGCCAATTTGGATCCTCAAATGACAGAACAAGATTTACGACAAGCACTTAGTAATTTTGGTACTGTTGTTAGTGTACGTATTTTACGTGATCAACAAAAACAATCGCGTGGTGTTGGCTTTGCACGTATGAATGACAAAGAACAATGTCAAGCAATTATTAATCGATTCCATAATCAGAGTTTTCCAGGTTTCATATTATATTACAGCAAAATTTTAATTACTATTATTATTTTCTTCTATAGATTTTTCTGATAAAAACGTACATGTAAAATTTGCTGATGCCAGTAATAAAAATAAGAAAATGTATAAAACAGGTTATGAAGTAAGTTAAAAATATTATTTTATGAGAAAATTATAAGAAAAATTAATTTTATTTTTATTTAAAAGGATATGAAAAGTGGTCATCCATTATATCCAATGGATCAAACAGTTTCTTATCAATCACCGGCTGTTGTATTTCCTCAATGGTCACCTATGTCAGCAGCGCAAATTCTTCCTCAACAAGCTCCAAATCAACAACAACAACAACCACCAACAATTGTCTCCGGTCCACCACAACATGCACATCATCCAGCTCATCATCAAATGTACGCGCAAGCACAACTTCGACAGCCATTAGGCGTATTTAATCCAGCTATTCCGTCCTATATGCACTTACAACATGGACCAGGACATGAAAATGGTGCAACATTTGTATTACCGATGCAACAATTACAACAATTACAAATAGCTAATGGTCATCCAGGAGCATTTTGCTTAGTTAATCCACATCAACATCAACATCAACATCAGCATCAGCATCAGCATCAACATCCTCATGGAGCAACACTTTATATGTCAGCACCACAACCAACAGCTGCTGCTCTACCTCAACCACAACAGCAATCGGCACCACCAACACAAAATGATCCATCACAAGTATGTTAAATTAATAGAATATTCTTTTTTTTAATCTATCATCTCATTATTATTCCCTCCTAGGATCTGTCATAGAATACCTACTGATGAAACAGCCAATCATTTGTTTGTTTGTTTTTTTTTTCTTTCTTTTGCCTTTCCCATTTTTTCCTTCTTGTTTCATGCGATCTTTTGGCTTGAACGGGAGAATTTGTGTGGATTTTTTGTTCATTGTTCAACCACCAAGTTTCTCTCTTGTGTGCCGTTTCTTTTTTTTTGTCTGTCTTTATCTCTCTCTCTCTCTTTTTTCTTCACTTCGTCTCGAGTGCCATTTTGATGATGTTAATGCTGATGAGTGTGTGTGTGTGTGTGTGTATGACTGTTGCTCTTTCTCTGTTCTTGTCCTTGGTTGCCGTTATTGTTGTTGTCACCGTTTGGTCGGTCTTCATTTCCTCTTCTTTCTCATCATTTTTTTCTCGTTTGTTGGCCGTGCTAGGCAGCCAGCCGTCTCTTTGTTCTTCTTTTTTGTGTCTCTTTGTACGTATGCGAGTGTGAAAACGAACAATATCTATGTGGTGAGATAAGAAAAAAAAAAACATGTGGCTCTATTTTTTTTTTGCTCGTTGGCTTCTTGTTTTTTTCCATACACACACACGCATACAAACAATTCATGTTCATTTTTTCATTGTTGATGTAGTAGTTTTCTTTTTCGCGCGTTTACATGCATTGATAACAGACTGCGATGAAATGATTTCGAGTAAGACATTTATATATATATATATATATATACATGCACACATACAAACAAAGAGACGAAATAAAACAAAAAAAGTACGAGAACGAAATGAAACGAAATGTACAATTAGAGTATTATTATTATTATTATTGAAAATCATGCAATTTGATAATCATATTTTTTAAGAAAGAAAACAACAAAATTAGATTATTCATTTGGATTTAATTTTCTAATTAAGAAGGACAATTTGTTTTGATGCTTATAAAAAAATCTAGAAATTAATGTCTCAAGTGTAACCAGCTGAGTAGTAATTGAATTGTGAATCAAATGAAATTTCATCATGCAATCATCATATCTCGGATGTTGTTGATGTGTCTATCTTTTCTCAAGATTAAAAGATCTATGTTATTATATGCATAATATTTAGAAAAAAAACAACTACTTTAGAAATACGAAATTATATTCCGTAATATCAATCATTAGAGAATAATAATTCATTAACATAATTCTAGGACATGATAAAATTATTATTTGATCCATAAATCATTCCTACGTCAGCTAATTTGGAGAAAATCAAGAATTGCATGATTTTACTAAATAAAAACGAAATCGGGTTTTTTTTTTCTACAGAAGATAAGATAAAAAAATGTTTTGTTTTTTTCTAATTTTGTAAATCTTTTTGAATAGTTTCAATAATTTTGTTAATCGATTTATATCGATTAATTTTAATAAAATGTCTTCCTCGAATTGTAATTATCGAAAGCCAACCATTATTTGCCGGATGTGTATGAAGGAAATGAAGCGTTTCCGTTGATTGAGCTAAAATTTATTGAAATAAAATTATACAAATCAATAAACTTAATTTTCTTACTATAAGAAAGTGGTCCTGAATGACAATCACGTATTTGTTTAGCTACAAGATCTAATTGTAGAGATGTTGCACGTTCAGCAATAAAAAATTGTTGGGTTATTTCAATTGTTTGTTGAAGACGAGAAAGCATTTGTTTCTCATAATCGATAGAAGTTGATAAGAGTTTATTTGTTTCTTTAGAACGGATCTTTTAAAAGAAAACAAACTGATATTAATTTTAAAAAGAAAATAATTTCTTACTTTTTCAATTAATGATGACGATATTCCATCGATAGAAAGTGTTTCTTTACTTGGTGATGGTAGTGTAATCGTTGATGAAACATCATCACTTGAAAATGTTGAAAATAGTGCACGTTTAACACGTTGTGATGATGTTCGTTCAGCATAATGACGAATTTCAATGGGTGATGCTAATAGTCGAATATCTGGTGATTCAGGTAATGATGCTATATCAATATGAGGAATATTTACAAGATCAAAATCTGGATGCCAACGAACGAGATTTTCATCATTAGGAACACCTTCAATTTTTAATTGTAGTTTATTTGATAAAAATGTCTTAAAAACAAAAAAAATAAATCGAATCGATTAAATGATATGACTATTTACTCGATGGTGTGTTTTAACTAAATTAAGTAATGCACAACGAAAACAATCAATTCGTTCTACAATAATCGCTGGAGTTATTTGTACATTTGACTGAATACCGAAATCAGCTAAAACAAATAGTTTAGAGATTTTAAATCATAGTTTTTTTTTCAATTTAATACTTGGTGTAATTGTTAATTCATAATTTAGTTTAACAGGACTTAATGTTGGCAATTGAATTTTTTCTTGTTGAAAACCGTACATAGTTGGATAAATTGTTTTAATACGACCAAGTGTTTGTAATGTAAAATTTCTTTTAAAAATAACAAAAAATAATGAATTGTATTTTAAATTTAAATAAAAAAATACCGTTTAGTTTTTTGTTGTATCACTTGTTGAATTTTTTCAAATGTACTTATTCCACCATTATTATGTGTATGACAAACGAGAAAGTCTAAATGTTTATATTGTTCAAGTATTATTTCATATTTAGTGGGTAATGGTAATTCTCTTGTTGTTATAAGAGACTTAAACCGTTCATAAGCTGGAAGTGATGGATAACTAAATTCAAGAATGGGTTAGTGTGAAAGAAAAAAATCTTAGTTTTTATATACCTTTTTCCAGGTGTTTGTGGTGATGGATGTTTAAAAGGACTTGTTGTAATATCACCATTCGTATTGAATCGTTTAATAGGTGAACGAGAATATGTTGATTTATATTTGTGTAATTCAATTCTATATGCTCGAATGCGTGCACGTATTTCTTCGAGATCTTGTGGTTCTATAGTATGTTCACGCATTTTAACTGGACTACGATGATGTAGTGGAGCACTCTGATGACGGACAAATTTTATTCGAGTAGGAATGGGAGACTTCGGCACAGATGTTGTTTCGAGAGTAAGATTGGGTGTACATTGATCAAGATTTGTTTCGAACAAGTTTGATTGTTCTTCAACTTTAATCACTTTCATAGGCTTTTCAAAAAGAGCAGCATTTGAAGTAGTTGTCGAACGGCATTTAGAAAAAAAATCGGTAATTAAAAGGGTTTTCTGAGGCATAATTTATTCGTTAAAAAGTGTAGATTTAATTAAATTAATGATAAGAGAAGTTCAAACGCTGTTCTTGATTGTTTAAATATGATCGAACAGACAATGGTCAATATGATTATGAGCATTGTTGACCATTGGTCAAGCTATTGAGTCCTCTCCAATGATATTACAATGAGCAATAATGGCATATAGATGTCGACCTCCTTATTAAACATATTTTAAACTAATGACAATGCATGGAGAGTTAACAGTAATTAGATTTTTTTTTCTTAAACACTTGTTAAATGAATGTCAATCATGGTCATTAAACAACTTGCAAATCAATATGTCAGCCTTGAGCGAATGTTTTTAGTTTATTTATATGTTTATGCTATTCTATTATTTTGCATTTATGTTAATAAACTTCTAACAAATACATCTGTTGTGTGTTGTCAACTAGATTAATTTTCTCATGAATGATTTTACCATAGATTACATCCGAAAGAGAACACATATGTTTTATAAAATTCGTAGTTAGAAAAATATTGTTGTACTATACATACACAATATAAAATATTCAGATATCGATGTTTGCTTTCTTTTATAGATTCTTCTTCAAAAAGAAGATAAATATTTCCTCAATCTCATACGCTTATTTTTAAAAATAGGCAATCTTATGAACATTGTCTATTTATACAGATACAGTTTCTATATGTCTTTACTCAACTACGTGTGCATAAATAATTCAAATGTTATTAATTGAGTATTGATTTTAAGTTAAATTGATGAAGTTAGAAAGTTAGTGATTACAATAATAAAATATATAAAAATGATCCAGTCGATTCACTAGATTATAGATTATCTTCAATGAGAAAGAAATTGAGCAATTTGTGTGATTATCCAGAATGTACCTGAGGCTAAGACCTTCATATGAGGCTATAAAAAGTCATCTTTTTACAAGAGTATGCCTTCGAGTAACTATCAATTACAGCAACGAAAGCAATCAGTTCTAAAGAAACATTTTGTAACAGCTTGAAAACAAGATGCCTTCGCTATACTACAACAATCATCTTTTGAATCAATATATTGTTGAAGAAGTTCTTGCACACGATTCTTATCATTTAAGATTTGAAAATGTCCCGGATATATTTTTTTGATTTCATGTTCTTGCAAAAAGTCAAGCATATTATTTGCACTTCTCAGATACTCTTGAACAGATGATGTGGGCAACCAATCAAGTAATTCTGAACCATGATTACAATTATATACGAAATCACCAGTGAATAATGATTTAGTTCTTGGATAATAACAAACAATACTTCCTTGTGTATGGCCAGGTGCATGTAATACGATTAGTTCATCATTAGCACCTAGAATAATAATTGATGGTAAATCTTTGCATATTATTGAATTTTACCTAGATCAATTCGATGACCATCCATTATAGGTTCACATTTTGTTGCTGGAACTCTATAGTCTCGCGTAGAAAAATTCTGATATGGTTGCTGAAGAAATTGTGTTGCTTTTACATAGTTCAATGTTTCTTCTTGCCAACCATTTCTTAAACCTTGATAATCATCTTGATGAATTAAAACTTTACATTCATTTTCAAAATGATTTGCTCCACCGCTGTGATCAAAATGAGAATGAGTACATAGAACAATACATTCACGATCTTTGCTGAGTAAATTAAGATTTTCTAAATGTTTTTTCAAATCACATACACCTAGGCCACAGTCAATAATTAAATCACGTGCTTTACCACGTATAAGCCAAATATTTGAACGATTACCTTCGAAAAAGTAATTTTCAGTAGTTAAATATAAATGTGAATTGATTTTTTTTGTAGTAAACCAACAAGGATTATCAATTTGAGCCATCCTCTTCAAAACAGAATAACAAGTAATTAGAGTAATGACAATTAACTATGAATAATATAAGATAGGAAACTTGCGAACCAATATCTATAGTCACTAGTTCCTCTGCCTACAAAAAAAAACAAATAGTCAGATAGGTAATTTACATTGGATACAGTAGATGGCGCAATACTTAGAACGTATTCAAATACTCGTTAATAGTTCGACAAATCTCATAGAAATGTCAAGCGCAGACGACGATCGTTCATTGACATTGAAAAATCTCTGTTTAATGCCTTGAGAAAACTAAGGTAGTATTTTAAAAAGCAAAGACTTGTCGCTCATCAAAGAACGGTAGTATTATACTTTTCATGATATTATTTATTTATTCATAATAAAGACATAAAAAAAGAATCAATTAATACCAACTACAGTTCACATAGAGAAAGAATATAAAAAAAAGCAGACACAAGATTTTGTTTAACCAGCAAATAAAGAAATAATCGAACCTATGCTGAATTGTGATGTATGTTGAACATAAAATTGAAACAATAGTATTCACAGATAATTGTATGTGTTCACAGAAAAAAAAACACAAAAATCTGACATATATACATGAAGTTAATAGAAAAACACTAATATTTCTGTTTATTAACTTGTCCTTGATCATTGATTTCTTGTAATTTACCTTCAGTCATTGTTAAACGTGTTTCAAGTATAGCTACTGTTTTTGTTAAAATATCTAATTGTTGAACAATATGTTCAAGTGTATTTGTTAATTGTGGTGAATGATTTTGATGTCCATTTGTTTCGATATCATATGTTGCACGATTATTTTTACTTATTCCATTCGGAATTGCTTTTGAATTACTTAAACAAGCTGAAGCACTATTTGACTAAAATAATAAAATAGTATAAATAAAAATTCGTTTCTTAAATCTTTTCATTTTACTCGAGAAATGCCATTTGCATAGGCTGGTCCAATATTTGTTATTTCAAGATGATTTCCATCATCGTATGTATGTACCATAGGTTTTTCATGAGATATATCGATCTAAATATAACATTTATATCAATAAAAAATTTTTGGAAAAAAAAGTATTTTTTACTTTTCGTGCTCGTCTTTCATCACTTGTTTCTGGATGAGATTTTTCACGTAACGATGATATTTGTGATTTTTTTGGTTGAGCAGTTGCTGATGAAATTCGTGATGTTGTAGTATAGTCATTTGTCATTAAATCATTACCATTCGTAAATTTACTACTAGCTGTATTCATTGAATCAACACCCGGTACAGTTGTATCGAAATTAGTTTTCCAGACAAGAACCTGAGCAAAAATATAGATGAAAAAATAAATTCTTTTGAAAATAATAATAAAATATACTTGTTGATCTTGACCACCTGATGCAAAATAATCTCCTTGCTTTGAAAAAGCGACACTTGTTGCAGGTCCCTAACAAATGACAAAATATATATTATTTACAATGATTATTAAAACTATCCTTACTTGATGACCATGTAGAGTATAAATAAGTCGTCCTTCTAATAGATCAAATACTTTTAATGTAGCATCACTTGATGCACTCAAAAGAAAATTTCCATTTGGATGAAAAGCAACATTATTTACTGAAGCAACATGATCTACATGAATTTATATTCACATGAATATTGAATAATAAACAAAAAACATCTTAAACTATTACTTGCATAATGTTGAATTAGTTTACGTGTTCGAATATCCCAAATTTTAACACTTGCATCAGTACAACCACCACCAATACATGTTCCACTTGGATGAAAAGCTACATCATTAAGAAATCCATGTGGTTCATAGAATGTATGCATACATTCATTTGTATTTCGATCCCATATTTTAACTGTTTTATCATCACTACAGCTAACAATTAATCTTCCATCAGGTGAAAATTTTGCACAACGAACCCAATTTGAATGTTGATTAAGTGAAAATTGAAATTTTTGTCGATGAACAGTCCAAATTTTAATAGTTTTATCTTCAGATGAACTTAATAAACTTTGACCATCACTTGAAAAATCAACACATCGAACAGCAGCTGTATGTGCTTTGAATACAGTTGATTCACCTTTTACACTTGGAATCCATAAACGAACTTTTTTATCTTTTGAACCTGAGGCAATTAAATGACCTGATGGTGAAAAACAGACAGAATGAACAGCGTCCTATAGAGAAAAACACTTAAGATATTATTAAAGATTATGATAAGAATTATACATTATGACCAACGAAACGATAAGCTCGAACTTGTGGTTTAAATGGCCATAGAAAAAGACATGCATCTAAACTACCAGATACTAGAAAGAAGAAATTAAAAAAATATATTTTATTTAAAAGAACATTAAAGTATGTACCAAGTTGTTTTGTATTAGGTGAAAAACTAAGAGATGTAACTGTACTACGATGACTTTTGAAATGTTTTTCTAATTTTGGATCTTCCTATAATTAATTAGAAAAAAAAACAATGAATAAAAGACCGATTATTAATTAAGGAATTTACCATTTGCTTCTTAACATAAAAATAAATCAGTAAACATTCTAAATATTAACCCTTTGTCCCTTATACTCGTCCATCATTGACATCCGACATGAGTGCCACAAATATTCCAAGACAACCAACGAGGTCCACTAATCAGATAATTCGTTTAAAAATAAGTTTATTTCAATTATTTCATATATTTAAGCTTTTTTATTCTTATATTTTCATTATAAAATAGTACAAGTATTATTTTTTTTTAAATTATCAAAGATGGCGCAAGTTATCATCATTTCGCTCTTGATGATAGAAATTTAGTTAATAATGAACTAAATATTAAAAGAATATGAATATGTAGGAAGTAATTGATAAGTATATCTGCATTTCAGAAAGCTGATATATTTGAAGATTAACAGATGATTTCATACGCTTTAACGATTTTCTCCAACTTGTTTTATTTGTGATCACGTCACCTCGTACGTTCTATTCAAAACAAAAATTATACAATATAAATCGATCGTAATCACATTCCTGTGAGTCACGAAAACAAGTTTTTTTTATGTTGGCTTTAATAAATAAAAAACATCAAATATTTTGTATTTTTTGTTGGTAAAAACCAAAGCAAACAGAATGAATGAAACGGTCTTATCAAAGATAAAAATAACTATTTTTTCATACTGATTGTATAGAATAAGAAAAATAACTGTTACAAACAAATAAACTATCATACAAGGATTTCTTTTAGTCGTGATAAAACAAAAGTGTCATTCCAAATTATATGTTGTCAGAAAAATCCTTATTTTGTCCTCAGATTAATTCTAGTGTTTTGTCATAACATTAAGATGGTTAGATTCGTATAGATTTCGATTAAATTACTTTTCTAAATACACACTTGGTGACACTCTACTTTATAGATTCGATAATACAAATCTAGACATATGAAAAAAGGAATATGAGTACATAAAGAATATCACAATATATTCATAAAAATAAAAAACAGTAACACGAAATATGAGTTTATTATTAATTCAATCATCTTCATCAGATGATGATGCCATTTCCTCCTCTATATTTTCAAGAAGTTCATTTACTTCATTAAGTTCTGTTTTTATAGAGCAGTGTTCCATTCTACCATATCGTTGATAGAGTTCATGTGACCATGTAAGACGATGTTGAGCAGCTGGGTAGTTTGGAGGATCTTCATCTAATAGTTGTTTGCCTTCAGCAAGAAAATAACCACCAATATCACGCACCATTCGAGATAATAGATCAGCTTCAAAATCAAACATCTGAACATAGTTTCTGTAACGAAGTGCCCACTCTAAATGGTTTGCTATAACACCACAGAATATATATATTGAACTGTATGGTTCATCTGTAACTGGATCAGTAAATACATGTGGAAATCTGTCTAGAATTATTGGCACAACAGCTTTTCCTAATGATCCCGAGGTAATGAAAAAGATACGTTTGTCTTGATTTTCTTCAAAGCATTTAATACAAAGTTCAGCGTTTGTGAATGCTGCAAATAAAAATTCAACACCTTCAAAACCAACAGGTGCAGCTCCTACTACATCAAGAATATCATCATATTCTCTATCAAATAATTTCACTGGAGTTTCATTTTTGGGATCAGCTTGAGATGAAAATGATTTTTTGAGATGTATATGTTCTTTTGGATCTCCAATCGTCAGATCAAGCCAAATGATCATATGATTTGGATCTTCTTCATATGCAATAGTAGCATCATGAGGCATTTTTATCTAAAATAAATATTTGGAAATATGAAAAGAATTTAATTATTGACATATTGTATTAAATATCATATCATTATCCAATTGTTATATCGATTGTTTAGTGCATATGATATAAACCTCGACATATTCAAATCGAACATAGATTACTTTTATATAAAATTATTTGCACATTTTAAGAGCAACTTGGTCCAGTTAACCCTTTAAGTACCATAGCTCAGCCAATGCATGAAACTTTGTTAGGACTTTATTGATAACATGCATATTGTATATTGTGAATATTTTCATCGAAAAATTTTAAAAAACTTTCGAAGTCATTTTCGATCAATACCCGTACCCCCTAAGACACGCTGGTACTTAAAGGATTATTAAAATGACAAATACCGCGCGAATACAAGCACCTACATGTCCTCTATGCCACAATGACAAGTGCACTTCGATATTGTTTCGCACTCGTAATTAATTCAAAATTTGTCAAATTCTAAAAGAGTGGGGCCTATAGGCCCCGTTGGTACTTAAAGGGTTAAGCTGAATAAAATCTTCTAATTGTAATCAATGTGAATCTATATGTTTTGAGTTTGCCTATTCACTAGTGCAAGAAAAAGGAATGAGGTGTATGTCAAAATAAAAAAAAGAAATATATCGTATAGACGGAGAAAGGTAAACACTATTATGACATATGGGAAGAACAGAAAGTGATATATGACGGTGAATAAGGAAAAAACCAATATGTAATGGAGTTGTGCAGATGAGTCAAAACCTTTATCATTAATAGTCGACTTAAAAAGTCAATAGGATTACCGAAACAACAACTAATTCTAAATGAACCTTATAACATTAATAAAAACCTAAATAGTTTTAATGATAAATATTGCTTAATAATTTTCGAAATAATACCCGTTCTCGTTCAAACTTTGATCTGTACATTGAAGATATCGTGATATTTTATTAAATGGTTTGAAAACTTTATTCAGCATCATAAATTCAAAATTGAATAAACCAATCCCTATTATCGTATATTCAAGATCTTACAAATTTATTTCCTGTATTTTTTTGTTTTTAAAATTGTTTATTTGCCATATTTAATGAGATTTCTTTTCTAAAAAGTATAAAAATAGAATTCTTACAAAGAACAGCCTCAGTTTTACCTTTAAATTGTTTCAGCTGTCAAAGATAATCTTAAATAGATCTTCCATCGACTAACAGTTCGTTCCATCGAATATAAGATCAACTAAAATAATAATGAATATGTTTATAGAATGTATTTTAGCATTTTCAAGTATCACTAGGTTATATAGAGAGAAGGAAGGAAAAAACCAACAAAAACAAAAAGAGTCGATAAAAACAAATAACAGTAAAAATGACTGCATCACAAAAATATTTCATACGACACGTGCTTTTATTTTTAATTGGTGAGAGCAGTTCTTTTCTTTCTTTCAATAACAAAGTCTTATAAATTTTTGGCATATGCATATAAGATAAAAACAACCAGAAACGAATCGATAACAAAAATAATAACAGTAAAATGCAGATATAATAATTGTAATTATTGGCTATATGATGAATATGATTGTTGTAACTAATTTAACATACTCTTTGCTTATCGTATAGGACTAATAGCATATATCACCTAGTAATTATACAAGTAAATCAATTTTTTTTATTGAATACTTGTAAGTAAGGAGGATAGTCATAAATAAATTAACAATGTTTTTCAAAGTACAAATAAGTGAATCGATTTAATCTAGTGGCATTGGAACTATTGACTCTAATGCATGATGCTGAAAATTTAGTTTGAATCAATCATACTCTCCGTCTTAGCTATTACAGCTATTTAAATAGGTAAATCAAACACTATTAGCTAGGATGAGTTTTTTTATAAACAGTAATTTATTTTAATATTTTTTTTATATGTCAGTAAGCTAATATATACGTCTAGTAGAATAATTAACGTTAGGTATTCTTTTTACGACGAAATGAAAGAACGTAAAACATGACTCAACATCAGTGTAAAAAATAACATGTCAACAAAGCTATATTTAAATAGAAAGAAAGTTGGTACCTATTCTCGAAAACTATTTGTTCTCGTGTGATGCATCCATTGTTTTATGAACAACATTAAATATAGCAAAAAAGTAACTTCAAATATGTAAATCCCTTTTAGAAATATTTTCTTGTTTTACCTCATGTTTTCATGCTGCAGATATATGAATTAATCTGAATAATTTTAAAAGCCAGAGTGACATTACAAAGTTTTAAATAAAACATGTCTACAGGTCGTTTTTATATATTATCAGCAAATGAAATCATTTACAAAGAATACATTTGTCTTATCATATATAATAGTTTTAAATTAACGATAGTCATACATAAATCCATGAGTCAAAGTTATATCTTCATAAGTCGATCGTCAATTGAAAAAAAGGTAATAATAGTTGTCGCTGGTTATCGTCAAATGGTTTTCATCTAAAATCTATAAACTATGTGTTAGTAGTAGTTACATTTTTTGTAAGCTAAGCAACTTATAATGATAAGATTTTTTCACCAACTGTTATGAATTCTTCAAAAATTTATTAACAGTCAATAGAATAAAATGAAATAATTTTTATAAAATAAATCTTTTATTGTATAGAACAAAAAAAACAACTATTACAAGTAAATAAACTATCACACAATGACTTTCCGTCGTGATAAAACAAAAGCGTCATTCTACATTATATATCTTGTTAAAAGAATGTTTATTTTATCCTCAGATTTATCCTAATGTTTTTTCATGATATTAAGATGATTAGATTGGCATAGACTTCGATTAAATTACTTTTCTAAATACACACTTGGTGACACTCTACTTTATAGATTCGATAATACAAATCTAGACATGAAAAAAAGGAATATGAACACATAAAGAATATCACAATATATTCATAAAAATAAAAAACAGTAACACTAAATATAAGTTTATTATTAATTTAATTATCTACATCCATTAACGATACCATTTCACTCTCTATTCTTTCGAGAGCTTTATTCACTTCAGCAAGTTCTGTTTGTATTGAGAGATCGCTCATTTTACCATATCGTTGATAGAGTTCATGTGACCATGTAAGACGATGTTTAGCAGCTGGGTAGTTTGGAGGATCATCATCTAATTGTCGTCTGCCTTCAACACGGAAATGATCAGCAATATCACGTACCATTCTAGGTAATAGAGCAGTTTCATCATCAAATATCTGAACATAATTTCTATAAGCAAGTGCCCACTGCGCATGGTATGCTCTATCACCACAAAATATATATATTGAATTGTACGACTCATTTGTAACTGAATCAGTGAATATATGTGGAAATCTTTCTAGGATTTTTGGTACAACAACTTGTCCTATCGATCCAGATACAATAAAAAAAATACGTTTATGTTGATTTTCTTCAAAACATTCAATACAACGTTCAGCGTTTTTGAATGCTGCCAACAAAAATACAACACCTTCAAAATCGACAGATACAGGTCCTACTGAATCAAGAATGTCGTCCTCATCTTTATCAAATAATTTCATTGGAGTTTCATTTTTGGGATCAGATTGAGATGAAAATGATTTTTTAAGATTTATATGTTGTTCTGGATCTCCAATCGTCAAATCAAGCCAAATGATCATATGATTTGGTTCTTGTTCATTTGCAATAGTAGCATCATGAGGCATTTTTATCTAAAATAAATATTTAGAAATATGAAAAGAATTTAATTATTGACATGTTGCATTAAATATCATATCATTATCCAATTGTTATATCGATTGTTCAGTGCATATCATATAAACATCAACATATTCAAGTCGAACATAGATTACTATTATATGAAAATTATTTGTGCATTATAAGAGCAACTTGGTCCAAACAAAATAAAAAAAAGGACTGAACAAGCCAGTTTCGATTTCTGATTTAAGTCGCTGTTATTTTCGCAGAAGAAATATTGAGTAAAATCTTCTAATTGTAAGCAATATGAATCTGTGTGTGTGGAGTTTGCCTATTCACTAGTTCAAGAAAAAGGAAGAGAATGAAAAAGGAATGAGGTGTATGCCAAAAGAAAAAAAAGAAATATGGCGTATAGACGGGGAAGCGTAGACACTGATATGACACATGAGAAGAACAGAAAACGATATATGACGGTAAAGAAAGAAAAAAACAATATGTAATAGAGTCAGTGCACATGGGAAAAAACCTATGGCATTAATAATCGACTTAAAAGGTCGACATGATTATCGAAACAATACCCGTTCTCACTCAATCTCATACATTACCAAAATATTTTCTTATTTTCGTTTAAACTTTGGTCTTTACATTGAAGACATTATAGTATTTTATTAAATAATTTGAAGTTGTTTGAAATTGTTTAAAAACTTTGTTCGACATTGTTTATTAACTAATACTATTTTTAAATTGTTTATTTGTCATACTTACTGAGACTTTTTTCTGAAAAACAGAAAAATAGAATTTTTTTCACAAGGAACAGCCTCAGTTTCACCTTTAAATTGTTTCAGATGTCAAAGATAATCGTAAATAGATCTTTCATCGACTAACAGTTCATTCCATCGAATACAAGATCAACTAAAATAATAAAGAATATATTTATAGAATTTGTTTTAACATTTTCAAATACCGCACGATTATATAGACACAACGTAGGAAAAAACCAAAAGAGAAAAAATAGGAAAAAGCCAACAGAAAAAAATAGAACGGATAAAAACAAAGAACAGTAAAAATGACTGCAGTAGAAAAAAAATTGCATACGGCACGTGCTTTTATTTTTAAATTGGTAAGAATGGTTGTTTTCTTTCTTTCAATAATAAAGTCTTATAAATTTTCAGCATATGCATATATGATAAAAACAACCAGAAACGAATAAATAACAAAAATAATAAAAAGAAAATGCAGATATTATAATTATAATTATTGATTATATGATGAATATGACTTTGGAAACTAAGTTAACATATCTTTTGCTTATTGTATAGGATTAATAGCATTCTCATGAGTATGTCATAAAGTGAGATATGTAAAAGACAAATCATTCGATTAATTAATTACATTTACTGTTCAATCTAGCTTTTGAATAAATCAGTAATATTTCAATGCATATTCTAAAGTAATGCAGAATTTATGTATGCTTTGTCTTGGTTGATAATATTTTATGGTAGATCACTAGTTAATTTTATAAGTAAATTAAATTTTGTTTATTGAATACTTGTAAGTAGTAAAGATATATTTATTCTATGGAAGTAGTAACTTAAAATGATAGTTATATTTGTAGAATCATATGATAAACCATTATTTACATTGTATGGCTATTGATCAATATACATAGATGCAGTCGTATTGCTAGCAGCAGATTTATCTTTGTTACTCATTGAAATACTACTATTTCCTTCATATAGTTCAACTGAATCAATTATAAAGGCTTTGTCGAGTCAACCATGACTTCAATTACAACAAGGAAAATTTTTCGCATCTTGATGGTTATTGTCTTTGATAAAGGACTTCTATCACTACTGTAGCTAAAGACATTTTTCTACTAATTGTCTGAAAACATTGTGGGAAAGGTATAATCAGCTTGGTTCATATTAACTTTTTACAGTATGCTTTTAGATCAATTCAATTAATAAATTACACTAATTGACATATTCGTCTTAGTTTTTAAATAAATAAAATGGTCGCAGAGCAAATATATAGTACAAATAATATTTCGAGGTAAACGAAAGATTATTGAAAGTTGAAATCAAAAGAAGTTTGCATAAAGTAATATTTGAAAATACATTATCTGGCATATATATACTAGCACATAAAGAGTCAATAGAAAACTGAAAAATTCATTTACTGACTTCTACTATCAAATGAACATCATATAATATAAATCAAGTATTTTCTCTAAACTAAAAATATTTCCTATGAGAATTATCGTAGCTGTATCAATGTATGACATATGGATAACTATTTTACTAGTTTTTCTCGACTGTGATCAACATGAAAATGATCATTACTGTTGTTAAAAATAGTTTATTGAAATTGAATTCATAACGGCAGATTCTTTCTTATTTTCATACGAGATGGAAATTTAATAAAACAATAAACAAATTAAAATATCTTAAACCATAGAATTTACGACGTTTTTTTTGTTTTTGAAGATAGTTTTTATAAACTAACCTCTCTTTATTTTATTAAGTATTATATTAATATTAGTTTTATTGATTGAAGACTATGTTGATCGTTCGTAGAAATGTTTTTTATTTAAAATATAATAAAATTTATAGTGACAGAAAGATATATTATGTCATGTGAATACACTTATTTCAGCATGATAAAAAAAAGTTATTTTAAATGGATCCTAGTCGAACACATCCAGTTTTTGATGTTAGACTAGTTGGACAAGATACTATTTTGAATCGTGCTGATGGATTATAAGCGTTCATAAACCAGTCGAATCGCCAATAGCAACCTGCTTGAAGAACACTTGGCAGACTACTACAACTCGTTCGATTAGTAATACCTCCATATTGATTACCGAATGAATAAGAACCATTAAATTGACTTGTACATCCATTAGCTGAACCACCCCATCCACCACCCGGTATTTGTAAAATAAACATATTATCGGCTGTATAAGCAGTATTGATTACTTGTATAATCATCTCTTTGCCACTAATAGGACCTGATGTAAATAATAATGAATAACACGTACAACACCAGTCCTTTTCTGCCAGGCCCTGAAATAAAATAAATATATATATGTATATATATGTTTAAAAACAGATATTACTCACGTAAACATAAGCACCTGCATAACCATATGAAAGATTACCACTAACATTCCACGGTTGTTGATCAGTACACATATATGCACTGCCACCACTGACACAGACTGATTGAGTATTACTATCGATGGTAGTATTACCGTTTTGCGTACAAGTTCTTGGTGGACTTGTAACATTAGCTTTACCTGGCCAACCACAACTTAATTTACAACAATCCCAGTATGTACTAGTTGAAGCATTTTGACGACTATCATTAAAATATGTTGTTGTCGATAAAATTCCGGTAGTTGTCGTAGTAGTAGTGGCTGCTAGAAAAATAAAAAATTGAGTTATTTACTTTATCATTACATATTGATTTTATTTTAAATTTATCGAAAATAAAATGCTTTATCAACTAATGTTTATGTCAGTTCAGTGAATACAAGGATTTCTTTGGATAGTTTTCAATTGACTTATGCTATCATATTCAATTTTTCAATATCTGTTATGTTTCTTGCTCTAATCCTCCATGAATTCTTATGATAACTTAACTCTTGAATAAAAATATCATGAGTGTCATATGGATCAACAGTTCGAAGCATGTTGTTTCTACTGTTGAAAATCCAAGCTGAATAGCCAGAGTCGGTAAAAATTTACTTAATAAATGCATTAGGTCATTTTACTTTGATATGAATATTCTAGGTTTTTTTAATTTTTTCCTCGAGAACGCAATATTAGTTTTAAAATATTTAATGGAAAGAAAAAAAAAATAATTCATGATATTTATGGAAAAACAATAAATTTTTCGAGAGTATAAAATAACGGCTTAAGTAAACGCCTTCTTTATAATATAGCGTCTAAAAGGATTGTTGAAATATAAGAGTAAAAAAGTGGACTACTTTACTCCGCCTTCAATGAAGTATGTCATATATTTCTATGGTAATGACATGTAATGTTGGTGGTAATTCAGCAATCTTTCATTCTAGATCATCATATATTCTGCTGTGAAGATGATGAGATGTATTATGTATTCTTATAAATTACTAAAATGAAAACTGATGAGCCTTCAACAATATTATCGTAACACTTTGTGTTTCGTATTAGACGAATCACTTTTGCCTCGAACTCTATGTCTTAATGTTAATTGAAATCTATTTCGTATCAAATCTAATCATTTCTCTTATTATTTCATTTCCATATAGGATATACCAAGTATGATTCTGTATGAGAACTTAAATAATAGGAAAATTACCTGCTGTTGTTGTTGTAGTTGTTGTTGCTGTTGTTGTTGTTGTTGTTATTGTAGTTGTTGTTGCTGTTGTTGTTGTTTTTTGCGGCATAAAATATAGTTTTGAATTAGTATTGCTATGAACATCCGATTGGAATAGAAAACTTGGAAATAATGAACATGTTTGATTATTTTCATAACAATTCAATGCTTGATATGTCGCAGGAGTATTCGAGAAAAATGCAGCACATATACATTGAGAGCATGTACCATTATATATCAAAACATTTGCAAAATTAGCAGGAGCATATGCTGCTGAGTTTATACAACCGATTAATGTTGTAGAACCAATAGTAATTAGAATTAGTAAGATCAATGGTAAATATATTGAACGAAGCATTTTTTGCTAATAAAAGAAGTTTGTCTTCAGTGCAGTTAATGTTTTTATATTGAGAAATGAAATGTAACACTAGCTAGAATTTTCTTCTCTTTAAATATTGTTTAAAAAGTACTTTTTTCTGAGAATCACATGTCTCATATTTAAAATTATAGAAAACTTAATGGTTTTGATAATGTCTTCTGTAGAATAGAAAAAATAAGAAGCATCACGATGCTAACCATTATCGTATTCAGTTTAATGTACTATTTCAAGTAAGTTGTCATGGATGTATCGAGAAGTATGCCATAGATGCATCATAAAAATATTAATTATATAATTTTGCTCTAGCGGAAATCAGTTGCTTTGAAGTTATGCAATATTTAATCAAAACTGAATAACTCATACTTAGATATATTTCTGAAAGGAGTGAATATTCATCGAATGAAACGACTTCGATCATAAAAATGATTACAGTAACAATAAATGAAAGAAAAAGTTTTTATTTCACACTGACTACATATATTTTAAAAAGAGGCGCAAGAGTTTTTAAAATTATATCATTTTTTCATAAATATTTCTAACGCTATTGTATTAATTGGATTGTGAAAAAAATAACGTAAGTTAAAAATGTAGATAATACTATTATTAGCGATCTTTCTCTACTTCAAACAATTTAATAACATACGAATCTTTTTGGCTATGGTTGTCTCAGCTGTTCATTTCTCTGACAGAAATAAAACTAGAAATATCAATACGAATATAATCGTTTCATTCCATCGAACTCAAAAGAATAATAATTCTGATCGATCAAAATTAAATATAAAACAAAAGAAAATAATGCATCATAAACATATTAAACAACAAAAACGAAAAAGATTATCGCCTAATTCGAAGACTAGACGTAAACGAAACAATACTTCTCGGAAATCACAATACTCTAAATTAAAAGTTCTTAACAAAATTAAATCAACTCAAGCTCGAAAGAAAAGTATGTTACTTAATACATAATTTTGAACTATTATTTTATATACTGACTAAAAAATATAATTCAGCTAGAAGAAATTCAACATCTCGACCACAATCAAAAAGAAAACAATATATTCTTGAAAAACGAGATAGAACAACATCATTAATGGCATTGCAAGCACTAGCTGCAAAAATAGCTATGTGTATGTATAATATTTTTAAGATTTAAATATCAGTTTAGTATACAAATTTATTTATAGATAAAAAAAAGTATGGCAATATCGAAACACGAAATTCATCAATAATTGTACCTTCTAAACAACGTAATAAACGTTTTCTATGAGCAGATTATAATTATATTTCTTTTCATATTTTAATCTTGTCTAACTGTGTGTCTATCTCAGTAGGGTGAAATAATATCTCACAATACTGTGTTGTTTTTCCATGATTTCGAACCATTCATACATGCACTTCTTTTTTACGAAAAATGTAAACTGTTAACATACATAAATAAAATAAAAATTCTTCTCTGTTCTCTTTCCCAGATACCTTAGCAACGATTTATCACAAAAGGCATGGCTACAAATATATAATTAACCATGTATTATTTCTGTTTTAAATTTCCTAAAGATAAATTTACGAGTTTATAAACAAACTGAGAGAATATCGGAAAAAAATTGATTTCATTTTGGTTGATCAAGAAAAGTTATTATCAACAATTTTTTTTCTTTTTAGCTTGCAGCAAAATATGAATTGATTTACGAAAATATATTCTTTTGTTTGATGAACTAGAAGTGTAAAAAGTAATGGAATGTATTTCAAAAAAATTTTTTTCATTCAAATCAATCGAAATAATTTATAGAGCTCGGTTTAAAAAGGAATAAAAAATATAAAAAAATAGATTTGAAATATCATTCGATTTCGAATGTTTGTCATTTTAAATAAGTGGAGTTTTGCCACGTGCTTGTGGTGATGGTGGATTTATATTTTCATTGGGAGAATAATTTGTACTTGTTTGTATACGATGACCACGACGAGATGGATGATCATATCCATATTGACTTCTTGCTGTTGTAAGTCTTGATGATGGACGTCTTTCCGAATTAGTTGGTCGATCTTTATAAAAGAAAATAATTTAGGTAAAGAAAATATATTAAATATACCCATCATTCGACTTTGACTATCTCGAACAATAATTGTTGGTGTTGCTCGATCATTTGAATTTCGTGTTGATGATCGTTCGATAACAGTTAATTCAATGGGAGCAACAGAATTATTTGTTGATTGTGTTAATAAACGTTTATGTGGTGAAACCATTCGAAGTGGTGATGTAGCTCGTTCACATGTATCGCCATTATCCGCATTTGATGAACATTGCGAATTTAATTTCGATTGTTTCATAAATGTTTGAATTTGTTGTTGTTGACGATCTTTTTCTTGTTTTTGCCATAATTTATATGGCCAATAAACACTAAATAAAAATAGAATGTTAGATTTATAAATAAAAACGTTTTTCCAAAGTAAATACTTATTTGGATTTGTTGGTGCTGATAGATCAAAATTTTGAGTATCCGTTTGAAAATCACCTTCATAATTTTGCATATCTTGCATTGTTCGACTAATCAATTCCATAGCTAAACGTTTTTCTAAAGAAATAAAAACAAATATATATATATTTTTATGTATATATGAATAAAAGTTTAGGAATAGTTCAAACCAGTCGGTTGTGCATTTACAAGCCAATTTTGTGCTTCAAATATATTATCGGTTTGTAAAATGTAGCAAAGAATTGGAATTAACTTTAAAAAAGAAAAGAAAGATTTAGAAGAATTGAAAGTTTAATGTAAATATATTACCCATATGCCAGGATCTTGAGTTTCATCACCACCGTTTTGGTCTTGATCAGCTTTTCCATTAGGAGTTTTTGGTTTTGATGTTTGTGGTCGTTGAGAACGTTGACTTGGACGTCGTTGTAATAATCGTTTCGAAGCATTTGAATCATTTACTGAATCAAAATTATAACTTGATGCTGAACTAGAACTTCGTTTTGGAACATTTCTATTTAAACGTGCCGTTCGAGATTGACGAAATGGTTGATCTTGTTCATCAGCTGGTGTAAGTGTTGATTTTATTTGTTGAGCCAATTCTAATAATTCCTGACGCCATGCATCAGCTGAATTATCTGTAAATATAGAAGAATTTGAAGCATTCATATATTCTAACTTCAATTCTACAATCGAAATTTCTGAACTTTTACTTATTTTTATGATTTACTCTTATATCAAAATCAAAGAGAATTTCATATCGAGTTACAACTTACAAAGACCAAAACCATTACTCTTATCCATGTCCAGATCATTTGAAGTTGAAATCGTAGTTCTATGTGGTGCACGATTGACATAAGGAGAATCTTCCACATATGAAATAAAACCAGTTTTAATATCTATTATAATAATGACATAGAAATGATCAATTAGAACATAAAGAAATCATACTATGCATAAATTTCAAACGTCTTGGACAAGCAGCATGTCGTGCAGGACGTACGAAAAACATATTGGCACTTCGATTACCAAAACGTTGTCGTGAAGCTGCTAATGTTTCCGTATTTGCCTCATTGGGAAATGCTGGACCATAGACTATAAGAATTTCGTTTAAAAAAACAAGAAATTTTCTTTATCTTTTCATTTATACTCACAAGTCATGTTACAACGAGATATATGAAATGAATATAACTATTGGTATGTTTCTTTGTTTAAAAAAAAACTGAAAAAGTGCAGTCACAACGACAACTCAAATATTGTAGCAACGCATAAATCTGTTTCACATACTTTTTTGTTTGACAGAATGATTCCTTTTCTTTTAATATAATGGAAAGAATAAAATTGATTTCTCCTTCTCGCATCAGCCAATCATCAATAACAATAACACCCATCACTAACAACAACAAGCAAAGTAAAGACTCTCGATTGAAAAAATAGACGACATACATGTATGTATATAAATGTAACATAATTTTTAAATTTTAACTAGTTGATAAAAAAAACAACATCGTTTTTTTTAGCTTGTTTTTTTTAATGTTCATTGTTATTGCTCGTCTTTTTTGTTTCTCTCTTTACTTAAAAACTACTTAAAATCTTTTCTTCAAAGTATACATTGCAGATTAGAATTTTATATGAATATTTATTTTGAATTAAAATGAAGGTGGTAAACAAGAAAGAAAAAAAGAAGAATAAGGCTGATAGTTGCAGTTAAATTGAACAAAAACATAAAACTTATTATTTTAGGCACGTGTCTTCATATGGAAAAAATAAAAAATATTAAAGGCACAATATATATGTTTAATCACTTGTTGCAGAAAAAAAAATCATTATGAAAAATTAGTCTATGAATATGTTGCTTGATGTAATTGAGATGATACATCATATGTATTTGGTGCTGTATTTGGTTGTAAATTTGCGTAACCTATTGGACCTGGATCCGATGCATGATACATATTTGATGGTGATGAATTAAATCCTGTATATTGATTATTATTAAGATTCATGCTTGTCTTAGATGTAAAATGTGCATTGATATCCGTTGCTCGTTTTGGTGGAAGATATGTTTCACCAAATGAATAAATTGATGGAGCTTGAGGAGGAAATATTTTATTGACGGGTGATGCATCTTGACTATGATTCTATTGGAAAGAAAATTCTTTTAAAATAAGATATATTCTTTCTTCTTTTTTTACGTACTGGTAAATGAGCTACTTGAGCAGCAACTGATCCGTAAAAATGTGGATTCAATGGTGCAGCACGAACAACTGATGAGCCAAGTGCACCGTAACCAATATGTCCACCTGCAGCTACTCTTATTCCTTCTCGTGCAATGACCTAATTTAAAATAGATAATAGTTTATTTCTAGGATTTATTTATACGAACCGTATCCAAAATAGCAGCTAAAATATATAAATCAACGTTTTTTTTTCCGAAAAACAAAAAATGAATATAAACAAACCTGCTTTTAATTTATCTTCAAAGAATGGAAAGGCACTTAATATATAATCATTTCCTTCTTGTGTATTTGCATCATTAAGAGCTCTTCAATATAAACAAAAAAAAAAGAAATAATAGTATTTATTTCAAAAGCAAAAATATTATTATTCGAACCTTTTTACATATTGAAGCGCTTCAAGACGATCATTATGTATAGTAACAGAAGCAAGAATATTTCGTGCTTGTTGACATGTCATTGGAATTAAACGCTAGAATTATTTATAAATATTCTTTGTTTTTCCTAAATTAAATTCTATACCGGTTCTAATATCATGATTGCTTTTACTCGATCTTTTGGTCGTGTTAATGATGCAACAATATGACCTGCTTGTTCACCACTTAAAAATCCCCGTGAATGATAAAGAGTTTCAAGTTTTCTTTCATGATCACTTGTTTCCTACAAAAGAAATTGTTATGATTTAATACTTGTTGTTTGGAACAAAAGAAAAGAAAACTGATTTGAATACCTTCAAATGTTGAATATATATTACATATAATTATTTCAACTTCTATTCCAAAAACAAAAAGGATACAAAAGAACATATAACAATCGAGAAATACAAGGTTTTGTCTTGTAAATATTGTGTATTTTAGCAAATAAAGACAATAATAAAAATCGCTTATTTTATTATTACTATGTATATTTATTTTGTTTTTTTGTTCATACAGATGATGTACTCGTCTTTCTATTTTTACTGACTATGCATAATAAATGTAATTTCCTAATCTATTGCAATCTTAATTAATAAGTGTTAAAAATTTGTCGTGGTGAAAAGACTTGTGCATTCCAGTAAGACCGCAAACTATACTGTAGGGATAACACAATCCACTTGAAAGGCTAAAAGGAAAGTACGATGCTCCAAAGAATCAGATACAATTGAAACATGGAATATTAGAACGATGAATCCGGGCAAACTCTACGTAGAACACTACCATCGATCATTGACAGAGAAGCATGACGGTTTTATGATTCTACAATAGAATTGCTTTATCAATACTGTCATTTTCTAAGATTAAATATATGTTACAAAGAAGCCTAACATTTGATCTTTAAAAATATTTCTACTGTGTACTGAGAATTACAAGTACATATTCTAGTAGAAAATTTCATTTGCATATTAATTATTGAAGGTCGATGTCAAGGTTATATTGAGTAAAATATTTTTTTGAAACTTACATGAACCATTGTTCGACATAAAATTTCAAATTGTTCATCACTCAAAGGTGTTTGATAACTTCGATTTTGTGATGGGAGATTACTTTTTGCAATTGGATCGAGAAAATTCATGTCTACTAGAACTCTGAACGATATTGAATACTAAAACAAAAAAGAACTTTGTTTTGTAAGGTTTTTCTCATAAACATCAATCATTTTGTATGTTGTTACTAGAACAATAACCTCTATTCAATTCGTTCAATTGTAAATTTATATTTCGAATATCTTAATGAAATTATTTATTTTTATTTTTATTTATTTTTTTTATAAAATAATATTTCATAACAGATTCTTTTCTTTAAACTGACATCTATCGTAAACTATTGTCATTCGATTAGATTATTGGAACCATTGATCAAAATACGCAACGTACAAATAAATAAAAATAAGAAGAAAAAGTCAACAAATATTCTTATTTAGATTTTATATTTTGATACTTATCAACATATAATGCATGAAGATAAAGATAATTATTATATTTTAATTATTTAACTAGATCATACTGGGAAAATGAATTATATTCAAGCATGATATTGCCTTGGTTATGCAAGAAGGAATATAGAAACAACTGATATCGAGCATCGATGCTCCACTGTTTCACATGTAATTAGTCGTAAACAAACGCAATCATTATGTAATAAAGATTATTTATGTTATTATTCGTTGGTATTTGACCAAATGAATTATTCCATCTAAAAAATATTAATGTAAGAAATTGTATAATTTTAGTCTGTTCAATCTTCTTTGGTGATGGTATTAATGAATTTATTCTTGGTTTGTAGATTGTATCAATCAGACTCTTGGAGAAGGGAAACGTATACTTACGTCCAGCTTAGAAAACTTTCATTTCGTTTCAAAGGATTAAATATTAAGATACTAAATAAGAAAAACAAAATTTAATTAAATATCTTATGATAAGATTGAATTCACAAAAAACAAAAAATTTCCGGTTCTTAAGAGAAGTGTTCTTAAAAACAAAAAAAGTTTCAATTTTTATAATTATTATAGAAAGAAAAAAAACCATTTGTTTTTTTTTAATTATAGGATATAGTTTTAAACTGCGACAGATTTTTCTCATAATCGAATAACACTTTCGACGAGATGTATATATATATATATATGCATACTGTTAAGCTTACTAAATTCTATTCGACTAAAAGTTCGCATTCTCAACATCTTGTTTTTTTTCTCATTTCTCGCTTACTTAAACAAAGCATATCGTAGAAATTAGTTTTCTTTTTAACTCTCCGCTAGTCAAATTGCAAAGGATACACAAACTAATCATCTATGTGTAAAGGGCAACAGAAGTGTTTAAAAATTGATCAGTAGTACATACAGACAAAGATTAACCTGATTTGTATCGTTTGAAAAGAGAAGGAAGAGCATATGCGTGACAATCTTCTACTCATTCTCGTTGTTGTCTATTCTTGCAGTCGATTACTAGTTGTGAAGAGAAGAGAAGGTAAGAGAACATATCATGTTTGTTGTAGATCAACATGAACACATTGAAAAATAAAAAGAATAAGGAATGAAATACGAGAACAGTATATGCAGCCGCGCACTATACTGTTAAGTATTCGTAGGTATATAGCTGATGTTTTATTCATCGATAAAAGCACATTTGTTTTTTTTGTCTTTGTGAATATATGTGTGGCATCAGATTGATAGGAGGTTGTTATAATACATATATATATATATATATATTTTCTCTTTATCCAAAATAACAATATGTTATCAAAAGTTTCATTACAAAAGAATATACAATCCTTTTCTAATCTCTATAAATACACGAGTATATAAATTACATGAAGTCGTTTATTTCTTTTTCTTTCTTTTTTCTATTCTGTTTTTCTTTATTTTCTAGAATATAACCTTATGCTACATGTCTATAGAGACAAAAACGACAGGTAATGTCGACAAATAGAAACAGTGAATATCTTCAACATGAGTATCCATATTCGTCGTTATTTATTTCGTTTTATTCTTCTTGTACCTGTTGCTTGGCTTTTAATTATTCTTATACTTCTACAATCGAATGAAATATCTACAAAATCATCTGACAATAATCAACCAAACGATTATAATTCAAATCATCGAAAAGGACGTGATGCGGATGAAGCTGATGCATTTGGTGGTGATGTATTCAGGCAGTTAGGTAATCGTATAGCATCAACTATTAATAAATCAGCACATATTGAATCATCAAGTGAAACAGTTCGTGTTATACATGAAAAGCCAGACCAAGTTGTACCACCTCAATTAGAGAATGCAAAACAATCTTTAAATGGTCCTGGTGAAATGGGTAAAGCATTTGAAGTTAATAAAGATAAATTAACTCCTGAAGAACGTCGAAAATATGATGAAGGTTTTCAAAAGAATGCATTCAATTGTTATGTTAGTGATTTAATATCAATACATCGTAGTTTACCTGATGTACGTGATCCTGGTTGTAGAAAAATTGATTATAAAGCACCACGAGTAACAGCAAGTATTGTTATGTGTTTTCATAATGAAGCATGGTCAGTATTATTAAGATCGATACATTCAATTATTGATCGTACTCCAGCTGATTTATTAAAAGAAATTATTCTTGTTGATGATTTTTCTGATATGGGTAAGAAAAAAATTATTTTATTATTTTTATATTGAACAACAAAAACAAACCAGTTCTTTTTGTTGTTGTTAATAGACCATTTAAAAAAACCACTCGATGATTATGCAAAGGCTCTTGGAAAAGTAGTTATTGTTCGTCAACCTAAACGTGAAGGTCTTATTCGATCACGTTTAGTTGGTGCTGCTGCTGTTAAAGGTGATGTTATTGTTTTTCTTGATTCACATATTGAAGCAACTGAAGGTTGGCTTGAACCATTAATGGATCCTATATCAGCAAATCGTACAACAGTTGTAACACCTGTTATTGATGTTATTGATGATTCAACATTTAAATATAATTATGGTGCTGTAAGTTCATTGAGTGTTGGTGGTTTTGATTGGAATTTACAATTTAATTGGCATGGTGTACCAGAACGTGAACGAAAACGAAGAAAACATGAATTAGAACCTGTTCGAACACCGACCATGGCTGGAGGACTTTTTGCAATAAGTAGAATCTATTTTGAAGAACTTGGAACATGTATGTCAAAAAAAAATTATATAATAGAATAAGAGAGAGAGAAAAAAACAAAATATTTAATTTTAGATGATGCTGGAATGGATATTTGGGGTGGTGAAAATCTTGAAATGTCCTTTCGTATTTGGATGTGTGGTGGTAAGAATATTGATAGAATACTATTAATTTACTCTTTTGGTTTTATTCCATATAGGTACTCTAGTAACTGCTCCTTGTTCACATGTTGGTCATATATTTCGAAAACGATCTCCTTATAAATGGTTACCAGGTGTTAATGTTGTTAAGAAAAATGCAGTTCGTGTAGCTGAAGTTTGGCTTGATGAATATAAAGTATAGAAAATTCATATTTTACAACTAATACTATTTGTATTTTTTTAGAAATATTATTATGAAAGATTTAATTATGATTTAGTAAGAATTTTTTTTTTCTTAAAAAATATGAGAACTAAAAAGTATTTGTATGTATAGGGTGAATATGGTGATGTATCTTCTCGTAAATTACTTCGACAAAAATTACAATGTAAATCTTTTAAATGGTTTTTAACGGAAATTTATCCAGAACAATTTATACCTGGTGATGCAGTAGCTTCCGGCGAGGTTTGTTAACTATAAAAATGAAATTTTAAAATGAAAAATTTTTTTTTCTTAGGTTCGAAATGTAGCCGCTGGTTTTTGTGTTGATGGAAGTACTGATCATAAGAATTATCATAAACCGGTAATCGGTTATCCTTGCCATTCTCAAGGTGGTAATCAGGTATGCATGAAAATATAGAAATAATGTAATACTATTTTTGTTTTTGTCAAGTTTTTTATGCTGAGTAAATTGGGAGAAATTCGTCGAGATGATGGATGTTTGGATTTCTCAGGTGGTGTTAATGATGCTAATAAAGATGACAAAGTTATTGTTTATCCATGTCATGGAATGAAAGGAAATCAGCAATGGCAATTTAAAGAGGTTTGTACAATACTTATAGTTAAATCGAAACATTGACCTTGTTTTCTTTTAAGAATAATCAAATATACCATCCAGTATCAAATTTGTGTATGTCATTATCTGATGATAATAAACACATTCGAATGAGTCAATGTGACGACAATAATCAACGTTTTAAATGGTCATGGAAACGTAAACCTCTTAACGAAACGAGCAAAGCTTAACGAAGAAAAAAATAATAATAATTTTAAAATTAATCTACACTCACAGATCTCAATATTAGTGTGTGCGTTTTTGTTTTTTCTGTTTTTGTTTTGGTAAATCTATAAAATAATGTTATGTGAGTGTGCAATATCTGGTACTAAAATAATTGTGTTTTTTTTTATATACTATCCTGTGATTATTTTTTTCCTTTTTCTTTGTTTTATTTGGACAATAAGTTGTTGAGATATTTCACGCTTTGCTCTCTATCTATCTCTCTCTCGCTTTTTTTCTTACTTTCTTTAATCTTGTTTTTGATATAAGTTTATTCAAGTCGGGATAAAACTATAAATGATAATGTTATTTGAATGCGCTTATTTGTTTTCTTTTTTTTTTAAATTATACTAGATGAATAATGAGATTTTTATAACACAATATTTCGAAAACACACAAGATGATCATCGAATTGAAAAAATTCTTCTTTTACAACGTCTTATTCGTTCATTTTATGTTCGTCGACAATTTGAACATGTTCGAAAAGAATTTCTGAAAACATTAAGTGATATCGAAGGAGAACTTTCGATAAAACCTGAACCACCACCACAGCAAAATACACGTAAAGTTCAACAAAATCAACTGATTATTACAATTGAATGTATCTGTTTTAGTTGTTATTCGTCCAACAAAAGATGACTTATTAAAAAAACGCGAAGAAATTGCTATTGAACTTCTATGGATTGAACAAGCTATTCAAAGTCGAAAAGATTATTTACGTTTAAAATCTCGTTATACGACGTCTATGTCGTAGAATAATAAATTCTGTTTTTCTCTTTTGTACAAATTTTCTTTTATAAGAATGAATAAAATTAGTTTTTGTTTTTTTTTAAGATGATATTGGCATAATTATTAAAAGAATGAGTAGTGTTCAATTAAAACGATTACTTGTTGCATTAAATCGTGTTAAGCAACATGGTAATTGAAAAGATTTCTTTTTTCTTCTTCTGAATAATAAACATTTTATATTTAAAGGTTATATCCCAAAATGTAAACAATCAACAGCAGCAGCAGCTCAACCGAAAAAAGAGCCAGAAAAAATAGAAGTATTTGTTGATGGAAAACCTATTCATGTTGAACCAAATACAACTGTGCTTCAAGTAAATAGATATACTATTCATTGGATATATATATACGAAATCATCTCGTATTTTTATTGTTTAGGCTTGTGCTGTTGCCGGCGTGGAAATTCCTCGCTATTGTTATCATGAACGTTTATCAATTGCTGGTAATTGTCGAATGTGTCTTGTTGAAATCGAAAAAACACCTAAAGTATTTTATTGTATTTTTGTACATTTTTATTAATACATTCAATTATTTGTAGCCCGTTGCTAGTTGTGCTATGCCTGTCATGAAAGGCATGCGTATTTTAACAGATTCACCATTGACAAAACGAGCTCGTGAAGGTGTCATGGAATTTTTACTTGTTAATCATCCATTGGATTGTCCTATTTGTGACCAAGGTGGTGAATGTGATTTACAAGTAAGACTTTTTTTTATCAATAAACAAAAAAAGTTAAGTTAATTTTAAGGATCAATCAATGGCATTTGGTAATGATCGTAGTCGTTTTACTGATAATGAATTTTCTGGCAAACGATGTGTTGAAGATAAAAATATAGGTCCACTCGTTAAAACAAGCATGAATCGATGTATTCATTGTACACGTTGTGTTCGTTTTGGTAGTGAAGTTGCAGGTGTTAGTGATCTTGGTACAACAGGACGTGGTAGTGATATGATTATTGGTACATATGTTGAAAGACTTTTTATGTCCGAACTTTCTGGTAATGTTATTGATTTATGTCCTGTTGGTGCATTAACATCAAAACCTTATGCATTCACTGCACGACCATGGGAAACAAGGTAAAACTTACTCAAATTGATTTTCATATTCTCTAGTATGAATTTTAATTTAGAAAAACTGAATCCGTTGATGTCATGGATGCATTAGGCAGTAATATTGTTATAAACACACGTGGTGGTGATGTTCTTCGTGTAATTCCACGAACCAATGAAGAAGTTAATGAAGAATGGATATCGGATAAAACACGTTTTGCTTATGATGGTCTTAAATTACAACGTTTAACAGCCCCGATGTTAAAAAATCGTGATGGTTATCTTGTGCCATGTGATTGGGAAGATGCATTAAGTGTTGTTGCTGAACGTGTATGTTATTTTGAAAAATTTATTTATTATAAAAATATCTATTTTAGATTGGTCGATTGGGAAATGGTTCAAAAATGGCTGCTCTTGCTGGACGATTTTGTGATGCCGAAGGACTTATTGCTTTGAAAGATTTGATGAATCAACTTGGATGCGAAACTGTTTGTGTTGAAGAACGTTTTCCAAATGTTGGCGCTTCGTAAATATATTTATTACTCTATGTCTTAAATTTATATTCATAAATTCTATATTTTAGTATTGATCTTCGTAGTAATTATTTATTTAATGGTACAATTGCTGGAATTGAACAAGCTGATTTAGTTGTATTAATTGGAACTAATCCACGTTATGAAGCACCGGTACTCAATGCACGAATACGTAAAGCGTTTATTCATAATGATTTACAAGTCGCTGTAATTGGTCCTAAAATTGATTTAACATACTCATATGAACATTTGGGAGATAATACAAATATTCTTAGTGACTTAGCTTCGGGCAAACATGCATTTTCTAAAGTTTGTAGAAATTGTATGAATATTAAAAAATAATTATTTAATTATAGGCTTTAAATGGAGCAAAACGTCCGTTGGTTATTTTAGGAAGTGCAATGTTTGAACGTCCTGATGCAGCATCACTTTATGCTAGTGCTGCACAATTGTCAGAAAAATTACGTGATGTTTCTTCGAAAGAAGATAAAGAATGGCGTGTTTTTAATGTTCTTCATCGAGTATGATTTATTTTCTAGAGAAGACAAATTTCTTTAATTCTAATAAAAATTATTCTTTTAGAATGCTTCACAAGTAGCTGCTCTCGATCTTGGCTATAAACCAGATGTTAAAGTATAAGAATTTTTAATGAAATCATATTTTCTCCATTTCTTTTCGTTTTTTATAGAGCATCATTGATCTAAAACCTAGTCTTTTATATTTATTTGGTGCTGATGAAGGTTTAATTAAACGTGAAGATTTACCAAAGGATTGTTATATCATCTATCAAGGTCATCATGGTGATCGTGGTGCAAAAATAGCTGATGCTATTCTTCCTGGCGCTGCATATACAGAAAAACATGGTATTTACGCAAATACTGAAGGTCGTGCTCAACAAACACATGTAGCAACAACTCCACCAGGAAAAGCACGTGAAGATTGGAAAATTATTCGTGCACTTGCTGAAGTTTGTGGTGCATCATTACGCTATAATGATATTGATGAAATTCGTGAACGTATCGAACAAGTTGCACCAAATTTAACTCGTTTAGATTCCATTGAACAAGCAAATTATTTTAAACAAAATATTGAACTTTTAAAACAACATCAATCATCATTTCATAATCAACCATTAACACCACCCATAAATAATCTTAAAGATTTTTATATGACTGATTCAATAAGTCGTGCATCATTGACAATGGCGAAATGTGTAAAAGCTGTTGACCAACAATTAAAATCACAACACCGCAATTAGATATTTTAGAAGAGAAGCATTGACGAACTAGTTTTTCTTTCTTTTTTTTGTCCTTCCTTTTCGTCTCTTTTTTTTTGTATAAATCCTTTAAAGTAGCATTTTGCCATTGTCATTCTCTTTTCATCAATAAACAAACGAAAAAAAAAACACAAAACATACATTCTGTATGATAATTCTTTTTTTTTTGAAATTTATTTTAGATTTAATTATGGCCAAGTATTTCCTCCCGAATAAAGTATTTATTTCACCTATACAATATGCTCATACAAGAAATTTATTTCTTATATCAATGAGTATCGTCTATACATTTGCATTTGCATCCTTATATTGGCAACAACCAGGTTTATATTCTGATAATGGAATATTACCACTTCGAGTACAAATTCAACAACAAGAAAAAATCCAACTTTTTATTGTTAAACTTGCAAATTTTTTTAAATGGACACCGTTTCGTATTATGGAATGTGTATTATTACTATCAATATTTTTAAGTTCATTAATGATTATATTTAAATGTCTTCGTACAAGTTTCACATTTACAATGCTTTGGTTTGCATACTATAGTTGTTTTCAAGTTGCTGGTCAATTTTTATATTTTCAATGGGATACATTATTATTAGAAGCAGGTTTTTTAACAATATTTGTTGCACCCATGAGACTATTATATTTGAAAAGAAAACAAACAGAAGATTTTTTATATCAAGATCGAATTACATTATGGTTAATACGATGGTTAGCATTTCGTCTTCTATTTGCTAGTGGAATTGTTAAATTAACAGGTGGAGATAAAACATGGTGGTCATTAACAGCAACAACAATTCATTATCAATCACAATGTATTCCAACTCCATTAGCATATTATGCACATCATACACCTGTTTGGTTACATAAATTATCTACAGCACTTGTTTATATATTTATGTCTGGTACTGGTATTCTATTTTTTTCACCATTTCGTATTCATCGATTAATTGCTTGTGTAATACAAATAAGTTTACAGATCTTAATTGCTCTAACTGGAAATTATAATTTTTTTAATTTATTAACAATTATCTTATGTTTTGGTTTAATTGATGATCAATTTTTGGGTTATTCACAATGGGAATCGGTAGAAGATGAAAATAAAACTAAAAAATCATTTTCATGGATTATAACTTTATTTCGACGATTAATACATTTAATTATTCTTATTTCATATATTTATTTAACAATTCGATGGTTTGATATTCATTGGGATAGTAAACAACAAATAGTTCTAACAAAAATAACATTTATTCGTGCTCAATTTGATCTTTTCTTACGGAGATTTTTACCTATATGTCTTTTTCTTGCTTGGTGTTCATTAATATTTACTATTGGACGATCCGTTTTTATTGCTATTCGACGTCCAGAGAAAATTTATGCAAAAATTTTTCATACATTAATTACAATTTCATATGGAATTCTAGCAATGAGCTTATTCTTTGTTTCAATGGTACCATTTACTGTTATTGAACGACAAACTGGCAAAGCCTTACCTTATGAATTACAATCCTGGTATAATAAATATCAAGATTATCATATTTTTAATGCTTATGGTCTATTTAGAAGCATGTAAGTCAATTTGTTTAAATTGAAACTTAAAAAAAAGAATATTTTATATTTTAGGACTGGTGTCGATGGTCGACCAGAATTGATTATCGAAGGTGCATTGAGTACAAAAAAGTAAATCTTTTTATTAATGCATATGTTTTTAATAGTTCATTTGTATATTTTAGTCCAAAATGGAAAGAATATGAATTTTTTTATAAACCAGGTTCATTATCTGCATCGCCTCCATTTGTTGCTCCACATCAACCTCGATTGGATTGGCAAATGTGGTTTGCTGCTTTAAGTCACTATCAACATGAACCATGGTTAGCATTTTTTCTCTATCGTCTTCTAACAAATCAACCCGAAGTATTACGATTAATTCAAACGAATCCATTTCCAACAACACCACCTAAACAAATACGTATTCTTCTCTATCGTTATAATTTTACTACACCACCATCAAAAGATTATTGGCAACGTGAATTATTAAATAATGAATGGTTTCCAACAATTACATTAGAAAGTCAATGGTTTATGTCTTATATTGAACAACTGAATATGAAACAAATTAATAAACCATTACCAAAAAGTATTCTCTTAGATATCATCCGTTCAATAAGTAATGTTATGAATGGAACTATATTTACTTGGTTTCCTGTTGTTATTGCTTTAGTATTTGTTATTCTACGAAAACTTCTTTGTACGAATCCTCATAAACCATTAGTTGTGAAAAAAGATGATGAATGGTATCAACCTGTACCATTAAAAGATAAAATTAATTAATTAATTATCTATAATCTCTCACTAGTCATATATAGTCAAAATTTGTTTTTCTATTTACTTATCATATTCTTTATTGTTGTTTGTTGTATTACTGACTAAAATTCAATAAATAAAAAAAATTGATTGATGTGTGTGCACATTTATGTTCCATGATACAATATCAGTTAAATGACTTACAAAGGGTTATAAGCTAAGAGAATTAATATTTAATAGAGTGCATTCACTACTTATGAAAATCCATCAATAAAATTAATCTATGATAATGTTCAAAAATATTCACATACTTTTCTTAAAAAAAGATCTTTTTATTTCAATTATTCAAAAAATTCATCCATCATTAAAACTTCAATTTGTAGTTCAAATTGGATCATTTACAGCAAATTCTGCTTCAATTATTTCAGTTTAGTTATATTGAGAATTTTTTGGGAACATTTATCAATTTGTTATGAGAAAATATTGTATTTTTTTGCGTATATGTGCAACTGTTATATATAATTTATACGTTTTTTTGAATGTAATGAAGAGTTAATAAAGTAAAACTACTATTAACTTAAGCTATTTCATATATGTTAAAAATCAAATATACGT